AAAGTACTCGCTCGGATGTATCACGAGCACCATACATCGAAGATGTACACAGCCACAGCACTTGGCGAGATAGTGTCACAAAGGATCTGGACCAGCTTCGACACGATTAACTCGGCCAGGAAGAAGGATACGCACGAGAAGAAACTGGTCCTCGACGAACGCAATAACATCACCGAGAAGTCACACGATGAGTGGGATGTGCGAGGCCAATGGATGCTCATAGACGCGATTGAGGCAATCCGATGGGCCTGGATCCTCATTAAGTATGCCTCCGAGACGGTCGTCAACAAGTACGTCGATTGGTTCATTCGTCTCGTACGCAAACATTCACAACGCATTAACAACGTGAAGAGCCTTTGGGAAGAATTCTCTTGGGACATCGCCATGCGCATGCGATCCAACGAGACCTTCCAATCGATCACCGACGACCTCATCAACGACCTCACCAGAGTCAACGACGTCATACAACAACCGCTGTCGAAGAAGCAGCGATTCGGCAAAGGCGCCGAACAAACCCCGAAAGGGAAAGGGAAAGGATATCAGCAGAAGTGGTCACCTCCAGGACAAGGACGGCGATACCGACAACCATGGTCCAATCCGACCACACAATGGCGCTCATGGCAACCTTCGACACCTACGTGGACCACACCGGCCATGTCTTCGTGGCAAGCCACCCCGACACAAGCATGGACATCTCCTACGACGCCGACTTTCTTTACTCCGACACCATCACCGACCCTGCCACTGAACCCGGCTCCTCATGTATCTCCAACACGACCTCCTTGGAACGCGAAGGGAGACAAAGGCTCGAAAGGCGCCGGCAAGAAGGGCAAAGCCGGTAAGTCCGGCAAGAAATAGGGACAGCACGGCCCAGGGTCTGCTGACCCTGGAGCCGACCATCGACCGACAGAGTTACACGACCGAACTTGTACATTGTGCTACGAGCTGGTCGGCACCTTACCGGTGGTGCACCTGTCCTTCTTCGATGGTATTGGGATTGCCTCCGAAGCACTACGACGAATCAATGGGCACATCCTCCTGACCCTTTCTTGGGAGATCGACCTCGATTGTGCGCGGTTTACCTCACAACACTTCGGATCCATACAGATGGGGGACGTGACACAGTTCGACATCGAGCCCGTCGCGGAGCACATCGATGCTGCTACTCTCCATCAACAATACATAATGGTGATAACCGCTGGACCACCTTGCCCCGATTTTTCGAACTTGCGTCACCGACCCCCAGGCTCCGAGGGTACATCGGGTTGGCTTTTCAGTCACATGGTGGGCATCGAACACCAACTCCGGAAACGCTTCACTGGCATCGCCATTGAAACGATCTTCGAGAACGTGGTCCCTCACCCGGATGTTCACGACAACTTGCTCGAGCTCACATCGCCACTGAGTATGGACCCCATAGTCGTCGATGCAGCCGACTCCGGCATCATGCACCGGAAACGGCTGTGGTGGACATCGATACCTTGGAACATCATCGAGGAACGCCTTCCACGACTCACACCTTGGTCCTTGGACTGGAAACTTGAGGGAACATGGCACCGACTCCACAACCCGATCGCTAAGGAATTGCAGACACACATCAAGACGAAGGACTACTCCCTTCCCCCATGCCTCCATAGCGACAAGAAACTTTTTCACTGCTTGACTACACCATCAACATCGACAACGGGCCGAGATCCGCCGACACATCTCCGAGATCGCTCGACTTCACATGATGCGTGGCAACGATGGGAACAGGACAATCGTCGATACCCCGTGTGGCAGTACGAGGAGCAGTTCTTGGTGACATTACCAGACGGCACATGGTCTACAGCACCTGCCACACTTCGAGAACAACTTCAAGGTCTACCGCTGGACTACACCGCTACACTCGCCCAGGGCGACGAAACCAAACGATGCGTTGCTTTGGGCAACTCTTGGCATCTCCCCACGGCAATTTGGATCATGTTCCTGTTGCTTCTCGGGACAGTCAACGCGACCATCCCCGACACACCACGATCTTCGGCTCTCCAACAGATTACTGCCTTGTGGCTACACCACAAAGTCCCTTTCGGTCCTCCTCCTCGTTCCACGACACACAACTACATGCCTCAGTTCTCCTGGACAGAACACCTCGATTGGGCACTTCATCGTGACACACACTTGGCCCCGAAGCCATTAGATCCTACTCTCGAGTGGTGCCTACAACATCGACATGTGTTTCACCCACTCGTAGATTTCCAGAAAGCGATCATCGCCGACATCCGCGAGCTCGTCGAAGACATGGAGGATCACACCATGGCCTGGTATTACACACTTCCAGAACACGTACAACGAGCATACCGACACAAGGATTCAGTCACACAGATCCCAGTACTCGTTCACTTACTACGACTGATCCAATACCCACAAACAGAGCTGATATATCGCGAACTCTCCGAAGGTTTCCCCTTGATGGGCAAGTTGACCCCAGGCATCAACTGGCACGTTCGACAAGACCTCAAATATCTCGAACCCACACCGATCGACGAGTTTGGTGACAAGAACCGACAGTACATCCACGACAAGATCGAGAAGAATTCCGTCGACGAACATTGGGAACTGATGCTGGATGAAATCCTGGCCGAAGTCGACATGGGACGCATGAACGGACCGTATCAAGCCCCCGACTGGTGGCCTCGAGCCGCCACAGTACCACCGAAAGGGAAACATCGAGCCCTGCTACCACTACCACACTCCGATCCCTACATCGCCATGGCTTTCAGCATCGAACAGACCGGCAGCGACGGCAACAACAAAGTTCGACGAGGCGAGGATTGGCGCCGGAGTGGCCACAACGCGACCTGCACCATGCACGACCAACCGTACCATCACACGCCCGACCATTTTATTTCTTTGGGACTCGCTACACTCCGAACCGATCACTCGAAACCCTTGTCTGTTTGGGGACATGACCACGACGGGGCTTATCGCCAACTCCCACTTCGTGATCCTCGAGAAGCCTACGTGATGTTGCTGACCCCGGACGGCCCAACACTGTGGAGCCACAATGTCCTTCTTTTCGGATCGGCCGCAAGTGTCTGGTCTTACAATCGATTCGGCGACATTCTCGTGGCCTGCAGCCGAACGATGATCTTGTCTCCGGCCATGCACTACGTCGACGACTACGGATCCATGGAAGACTCCGACCTCGCCAAAGGCAGCTTCGAGTCCTTCGAGGAGTACAACGGATGTCTCCAGATATCGATGAAACCCAGTAAACGTCAACCACCACAAACAGCACATCGTATACAAGGAGTCATCATTTCATCCGACGACGACAACTTGGTCCTCACACCTTGTCCAAAGAGAGTCGAAAACATGTGTAGACAAATCGACACACACCTGGCTACTTCGTCACTGTCCCCCGAACAAGCCAGGAAGATGGCCGGGAAGTGCAACTTCCTGACTGGGAGACTATTTGGCAAGGTGGGCCGAGCGGCCCTGAAGGCACTTTATTCTCGAGCTCACTCCTACTCACATGCCCTCGACAAGCCCACACGCTCATCACTACTCGCCCTCAAGGACATCATACAGCACTGCCGACCAATGACGATACCACGTACACCGACCAAGACGACATACAGCGTCATCTACACGGACGCATACTTCAGGCTTGGCTCCACCATCTACAAGCCGGGAGACAACGACATCCCGAATTGGGACTCAAAGTCGACGTCCGACATCGAAAACGGCTGGGCGGCGGTTTGCTTCCACCACGGTGACGTGCGAACCGCCGCCTACTTCCAGGGCCGTCTTCCCTCACTACTCGTTCGACAGTTTGCCTCCGACCAGGCCTTCATCTACCTTCTCGAAGCATGGGTAGCGATACTGGCACCGTTGGTCTTCGAACCGTGGCTGGATCAGTTCTACGTTCAATGCTGCGACAACGAAGCCTCCCGACACGCCCTACTCAAGGGCGTCGGCAAACATCAACCTTTGAATTGCCTCATTGCGGCACATTGGACTTGGCACAATCGACGCAGTATTGCACATCGACTTGAGCGGGTACCCACCAAGGCGAACATCTCCGACGGGATCAGCCGCTTTGAGCACGTTCCGGAGTCTGAGAGCTGGACTAAACTCGATTTGCCTCTTCATGCACTGACGAGTAGGGCTGCGAAGATCATAGGAGATATCCATTTTGCTTCCTCGACGGGTTTTTCCGACTTACCCGAAATTCACCGATTGCACGATCATTTGCTTTCGATGTTACGCTAATGTTCTTTCGAGTGGCGTTCGCCTGCGATGGGAGGACGCGACCTCACTCGATGGGAACCAGTCGGTCCTCCCAGCGGAAGGAAAGATCAACACCGATCTGTAAGATCGACTACTTCGATCTGTAAGATCGAAGCGCAGACTTAACGCCACCGAAGCGGAAGCAGTTGGAAAACACCTCCGCTGAAGCCAGGGATTCATGGCATTTGTGTGAGAATTTCGTTGTCGTGTAGCACACACTTGTTTGTGCGAAGTGACAACTTCATATCTCACTTAAACACCGAATCGGTCAGGGGATTGACTCACCGATTCATGTCGAATGATTGTATACTCCGTGGCCATTTTGGCGAAAGCTGTTACAGCTTGAGCGAAATTTTGTTTCACCCACCCGTCCCGACCCTCTTCGATATTACTTTAAATTTTCCTCTGCTTCCTGTCTGCGAGCACCGCCTGGGAACCAGTCGGTCCTCCCAGCGGAAGGAAAGATCAACACCGATCTGTAAGATCGACTACTTCGATCTGTAAGATCGAAGCGCAGACTTAACGCCACCGAAGCGGAAGCAGTTGGAAAACACCTCCGCTGAAGCCAGGTATTCATGGCATTTGTGTGAGAATTTCGTTGTCACTGTGAAACCCTGAACCCTGCACTGTAATCCCTAAACCCTAAACCCTAAATCCTAAACCCTAAACCCTAAACCCTTGTGCTCTGAAGTCAGAACCGAAATGTTTGATGTTCTGATGCCCAGTTCCTGCGCTGGCGACTGTGAAGGAGCAGGACCAGTCTTCTGACTTGTTCTCTCTCGCTCTCTCTCTCTCTCTATATATATATCATATTACATTATATTATATTATATTATATTGTATTATGCTATACTACGTTATGTTAGTATATTTTATTGTATCATGTGACATATTATCTTGTTTTATTTCGCAGTTTGAGTTTGCACTGAAGCCGCATAGTGATCGGAGAGGCACGGAGACCGGAGGCAAACACACGCAATTTATTCAGCTCTGCGCGAACGAAGCAAAAGATACGCCTGTTCGTAAATATGCACACGGCAATTCAATGTTGAAAACTAACCTTCCCCCTCAAACATGACAGCATAACTACAGGTATTCAGCATAGCACGTGACATGAAGAATGTATGGGTCGCCTAACCTTCCGTAGCGCATAACATCGCACAGGAAGCAAGCTCCAATACTCACCGCAGGACAGCACGACAGGCTGTACTTATAAGACACTGTTCAGCATACCGCAAAACGCGATAACACCAAGTGGCAGGCAGCATGATAGGAATCAAATTATTAGTGTTTCTTGCGGAGAAGCATAACGCAGGCAAGGACAATCAAGAGAGCTGGATGCAACATCTCAATGTGCGCTGGGTCATGAAACAAGATAGGGAAGGACACCCTAGTGGAGTGCAGTGTCGTGCGATGAGCGGGCATGATAAAGCCTACTTGGACACAAGGCTGTTTCAGGTCATCGTCGAACAGAATACCAGGTGACCTAAACCCTAAACCCTAAACCACAGAGCAGTGCAAGGTGCAGCACACTGTGAGGAAACCACGGATTTGCGGGACCACAGGATGCCACGTTTCGCAGTAGGGACATGGGATAATATTCTGTATATATATATATATATATATATATATATGTATAGACACATGCCACCCCGTAGACAAATAGGCAAAATATAACAGAAAAGATAGTAAATGTGCCCTAAATCGGAGCAGAGTCTGCCAGGACTCTCGGCTGGAGCCGCCCAGGCTGCCACTGGCCACACGCGGGTCGCGAATCATCGATCGGCTCGGATACTTGGTGCGGCTTCGCTGCGTGAATTGGCCCAGGGCTAAGTTTAAGGTGGGACCGGCTGTCTGCAGATTGTCATGAGTTCGAGCTGCACTTATCTGCAGTTCACCAGATTTTGCCCAAGCTTAAGGTACGGGGCGCACATGCATGAACTGGTGGTAGGCCGGGAGATTGAAGCCGGCAGTCGCAGCCGGAAGCGTTCACGTGCACAGGTGGATTACACAAGCAGCCGCTTTCTTCCCTGGTTCGCTCGATCCATGCAGTGGCCCCGGGCATGAGCTCAAGTTTTGTTTTGCACAGATGGTTTAGGCTTGGGATTTAGGGAGTTTAGGGCAGCATGAGGTGCTCGGCTTCAACTGCGTGCGCTTGCCCTACTCGCTGGAGATGCATCTCCGACGCCCAGATGCCAGGCTTGCCATCAGGGCTTGTCTTGAAGTGCCGAGCACCACGCTTCAGAAGAAGATCTTAAGATGAAGTGCAGCAACCTAAAGCTTCCCAAGCCCCTACGCAGTACACTAACCATTCAACCTCAAAGTCTTAAGCTCAAGGCACAAAGCCCTGAAGCACGAGGCAACTTCGGAAGCCGCAAGCTGCAAGCCAGGCCGCGAGATGCGGCCCTCCTCGCCAATCCGGAACTGCAGAGACTTGGCGAGAGGCTTCTCGTACATTAGGGCACCTTACTATACCATCGGGCGCGTGATTGAAGAAGTGCCTTTGGTCTGATAGAAACTTGGTTTGTTGGTGGTTACGAAAGTTGATGTGAATGGGCGAATGGGGTATTCGCCCCTAAACCCTAAACCCTAAACCCTGAATTCTGCAGGGGCCCCAACCATGGGCCTGTCAAAGTGATTTTTGGGAAAGTCGCAGCCGGAGGAACGTGCTAACGGCCCGGGGACATCGTTTTTTTTTTTTTACAAAAAACATAGTTTTTTAAAAAAACCTATACACCTTCGGCCTTTGGCATCCCAACTTCTGAGTGTGTTGTAAGGAAGTCTTGTAGGACTTTGGCATCTAGAGTGGAAGGTGACGCCTGTCCGAAGCAGAGAGTATGCAGTGGCTCTACGGTCGCCTAGGTAACTGAGAGATACAGTGAACTCAAAATTTTTAAGCACTCACAGCGGGAGAGCACAGCATCTTAACTCCTACATTGTGTGATATGGTGTTGGATGACATTACATGACGTACGTGCGTTGCATGCTGTTATGTCATTGTACTACATCATACCACATGACTATATAGTCTATCGCATTGTATTGTACTGTACTATGCTCCGTCATATTAAAATAATTGTATTTCAGTGTGGTGCATTCTGTTCAGTTCTGGTCTGTTCTGTTATGTTATGTTGTGCTACGTTCTGATATGTTATGCTGGTGTTTGTAACATTCTGCTATTTACCTACAGTCTGCATGGCTCAGCAATGCCATGACGGCCGTCCTGAGCGCGATCATCATCATCATCATCATCATCATCACCATCACAGTTATCTCACATTGATTTCAGGAACATGACTGCGCTGGCAATTTTCGATGCCACGGTGAAAGCACTGGTGGACGCCCGCATCATGGTGGTGCTGAACAACCACCAGGCTCCGCTATGCTTCTTTGTCTTTCCTTCGACTTTTACTGTAACCACTGTGATTCAAGATTTAGTAGCTGATGCAAGTTCCACCGCTAGCATTGGGCGGACAGGCGTGTTTTTACACAGAGCCTGGCAGGGGAAGGCCATGTGGTGCTGCAGCGAGGATGACGGGGAGGGACTGTGGTACAGCCAGGACCGTCAGATGGCTTTTCACAGGCTTTGGCAGTATGTTTACGGCGGTTGCCACTGAGCACAGCAGTGATGCCTCCAGCGAGGAGTATTCGGAGGAAGATTGGTTGCAGTCACTTCGCCTGCTGGCAAGGCATCTGCAAGGGAGAGCTGTGCTGGAGTCCAGATACTGTCCTTGATCTGAAGTTGTTCTAGAAGGACCTTCCAGATCATTTGCGCAATCATGATCCCGAAACCCTCTTAACGGCATCCCAGGCACTGCAGCTTGAATCCTACACCCTGAAGCCTAAGCCTCGTCTGTAGCCCAGGCGCTACAGGGAGGAGCCTTACGTCGTGGGCTTCGACCTCCGCAATGAGCTGCGTGGAATTCCTGCACCCGTCGCCTGGAGCCTGGGCCTCTACCCACAAGGCAGGGTATGTAATATATACATATGGAGATATGGAGATATGGAGATATGGAGATATGGAGATATGGATGGATGGATGGATGGAAGCATCTGTGCATGTATCTGTGCATTATGTACCTATCTCACATGTGTGCATATATACATATACAGATACAGCTTTAGATACAAATGTAGATATAGATATGTTTGTCGGCAAAGTACTGTGTGTAAGGTATTTGCAGTTGATTATGCGCAAGTATACGTAAAATCTTAAGTATAGATACAAGCACGAACATAAGAATGAATGCACATCTAAATCTGAATATATCTCTATCTATCTAACCATCCATCTAAGCATCCCTCTAACTATTTCGGATAGCCTATCCATGTATCTACCCAAAAATCCATCTCTCCAACTATCTATCCATTTATCCATCTTAACGTCCAATCGTGCGAGCAGATCCAGTGGCGACCCCTTGGAGAGGCTATCGATTTTGGCCGCAGTGGGGCCTTTCGGGCGGCGGTAAAGGCGACTGGGGCGACGCGGCTCTGCGCGCAGGTGCAGCTGTTCTACAGGACTTTTCGGGTTTAGGGTGTCGGTTAAGGTTTAGACTTTAGACTTGGGAAAGAATGACGAGAAGTCAGGAGAGTTCGGAAAACTGCGAGACTAGAATCAGAGACACAAGCACCGCAACATGAGTGTCCCGTTATGGTGCTTTCAGCTAGTCACGCTTGTCACTTGAAAGCTGTTCCTGGTTGGCGTTCCTGTGTCTGCTGCACATAGGAGCTGCCTGTCCCCAGGAGAAGTCGGATGCTTTGATTGTGGTCGAGGCGGGGGTGTGATGTGATGTCTGCGCCAGGGTGCGGAGCCTATGTTGGGTACTGCCCACACTCAGTAATAGTTGGACAAGATTTATAATATAGATATATTATATAGGCCCTTACTAGTCGCCCCATTGTAGACTGCCACTGTATGGGGGCAGTACCCAAAGCCTATGTGCTTCGTGAGGGTGCATTATTAGCGAGAGTAGGAGCAATAGTACCAGGCCGACCACCGCGGGAAGAAGCAGGATAGATACAGGAGACTCATCGGGGACTATCCTCTGTCAGGGCCTTGACTTCTCCACGGACCTGCGCGGGGTTCGCCAGAGACCGCTGCACCGTGAGCCGCTGCTGCGTGGCCGTAACCCGGCAGAAGATTTTGGCCCGAGCATCTTAGCGCCAGCTCTTGTTTTTCTTTTATGTTTAAGGTTTATGTAAACATTATAGTATGTTATAGTCTTTTTTTGTAGGTTAGAGTACATCATAGTAACTCCAAGGTGTGGTCTATGAGGCCCACGACTACTGCTGGTATCACGTTAACTTCTTTCGAGCCTGGCTGCTCTATTGGCGCCCTGGCCTTCTTCAGCAAGTGTGTGGCTAGGTTATTGTCAAACAGCCTCCACGTCAATCTCAAAAGCAAGAAGAATCTCAAAGCCCAAACCGTTTTCAAAACCCCCACACCCGAACATTGTCCACAGCCCGGAACCACTGCCCCTGACGTAATAGCATAAGTATTGCTATTGCTATGGCTAGCATTACTACTATTCTCATGAATATTAATTACTATGATCATCATTACTGTTATTACCTGGCTTATTATTCCTTGTATATATTGTTATGGTCGTTACTACTGTTGATGATATAAATCCTGCATTACCTTTAGGACCCTAGACTATGGAAATTATGGTATATTCTTATTATGGGTAATGCAGGGTTTATAATCCCTAAACCCGGAACCCCATAGATCCCTTAAAGGAGCCCCTTAAAGATACATATATAGATCCCTTTAACGGAACCCTGGGATTTATAATTGGATCTCTTTTAAGGAACCGTATTTGTACCCCGAAGTGAGCAGAGAGCCTTTGGAGGCTTTCCTTGGGCTGGGCGGCAGAGGTCTTCTGGCGCCTTTGCAGAGGGAAATCCGCGAAGACGAGATGGATCCTCAGTCGGGGCTCTCGTTGGAACTTGACTTAAGGGTTTAGGGTTTGAGGTTTAGGGTTAAGGGCTTGGGGTTTGAGGTTTAGGCTTTAGGGTTTAGGGTTTGAGGTTAAGGGTTTGGGGTTTAAGGATTAGGGTTTAGGGTTTAGGGCTCTTGCTAAGGGACTTAATTTAAGTTACCATGATCAAGACACAAAACTATTTACAATAGATCCCTATTTGGTAATTAAAGAACCCAGTTGTTTCGCCGTGCGGGGCTTTGCATTCGGGGCTGATTCAGGGTTTAGGGTTTCGTAGTTTGTGGTTTAGGGAGTTGGGGTTAGGGTTTGTGGAATATTCGTCCTCATGCGAGTGAGTTGTCCCATATTCCGTCCGAAATTTGCTTGTGTAGTGGCTCCAGCAGACATAGGGATCTTCAGGTTAATCTAGAGTATATTATCGTATATTATAGTATATTATAGTATACCCTAAAAACCCTATCCGAATTATGAAGCTGCCTCTGGTCGGCTCAAGACTACATGTTTAGGGTCCCTGAGTCTGATTGGCTGCAAGATGCCCGAGATCCTCTTGCGAGCTGCTGCTTCTGGCGCAGAGACCCTCGGATTTCTTGGAGGAGCCCTGTAGCTCCAATGACTGTCTTTAGGTAAAGTTTAAGTTTAGGGTTTAGGGTTTTGGGGTAGGGTTTTGGGTTTAAGCTTTGAGTTTAGGGCTTAGGGTTTAGGAATAGGGGCGAGAGTCTGGGATTCCCTGAAGTTAAGATAGGGGCCTTGATAACCTGAGTAGGGTTTGGGGATCGGCTACAGTATGTGTTACAATCAGGAACTTCCTGGATGGTTTTGAAAACCCAAATGGTCTCGTCATATAAATCCTGCAAGAGATAGGTTCTTTGGGTTCAGGTTACACTTGAGCTGCCTGAAATGGAGGAAATCCGAGTATTCACTGCTTGTCCCCATCATGCCTTGGTTTAGTGCTTTATGCGTCAAGGATCAGGGAACTTAGTGAACAGGTTAAAAGTAGGGATTTAACGGGCAGGGCAAACTCATCGAACACCCTGCTTACTATGTCCCCTGATCCTTGCCGCATTGTCCCGAAACCCTACACCCTAAACCCTCATTAACAAAACGGATCTGACGAAGAGAGCTCAAGATTGCGACCCCTATTCAATCCTAAACCCGAAACCCTAAACCCGAAACCCTAAACCCGAAGCCCTAAACCCGAAACCCTAAACCCGAAACCCTAAACCCAGGATTGCCAAAGTAACGGCAGAGCCCCTGGAGTTGGTAGCAAAGCTCCGTCGCGTTGCGCTGGCGGCTGGGCATGGAGGCCCACCTGAGCTGCGCTGTGGCCTCCGCCTGATGTGTGGCACCGAGGTTGGGTGGGTTTAGGGTTTAGGGTTTTAGGGTTTAGGGGTTATAGGGTTATAGGGTTTAGGGTTTTAGGGTTTAGGGGTTATAGGGTTTAGGGTTTAGGGTTTAGGGTTCAGTTTAGGGTTTAAGGTTTAGGGTTTAGGGTTTTAGGGTTTAGGGTTTGGGGACGGGGGTTGACTCGCAGGGTTTGTAGGGTTTGGGGCTCCGGGGCTTTAGATGGAGCTTCTGGCTTCAGGATTTTAAGGGTTTTTTTATAAGTCCCTCACCGGTTTAGGGTTTAGGGTTTAGGGAACCCTAAACCCTAGTTTGATAAGCCACCCAGGTGCTGCACGATCGCGCGACCCTGAAGGCATCGGGCCTTGGTTGTGGCGGCACGGTGGACGTGGCGAAGGAGTGTGGTTCATTAACTTAAGTTATTCTAGGGATCGAGGTAATTAGTAATAGCCTGAGTTAGATAAGAATTGCACCATAAACAACGACAAACTCGATGTTCGGATTATGAAAGGCTCCGATCTTACCTGAAGCAAAGGTAGTGTAACGCACTCAAGCTAGTTTGAATCCTGGTACAAACCGTAGATCCTTAAGACCTTGAAACCCTATGAAGCCCTAAGCCCTAAGTTATAAAAGCCAAAAGCCCTTTAAAGCCCTGAAGCCCATGGATCCCCTTCATGCACTTCTGCATGTTGAGCCCTAAAGGTTTAGGGCTTAGGGTTTAGGGTTTAGGGGTTTAGGGTTTAGGGTTTAGGGTTTAGGGGTTTAGGGTTTAGGGGTTTAGGGTTTAGGGGTTTAGGGTTTAAGCCCTAAAGATAACCCCGCCCAATCTTCAACCCCACACCCCAAACCAACCCCGAACCCTCAACCCCGAACCCCAATAGCCGCAAATGAAATCGTAAAGGTCCTAGTCCTAAACCCTAAACTCAGAACCCAAAACCCTAAACCTCAACATAGGTTTAGAAACTTTAAACCCTGCACAATAGTAGGTTATGACCCCTTAACTACATGGTCGAAGCTCCAAACACGGTAGGTTTTCGGATCCCCAGGTAGACCATGAGGATCCTATGGTTGATGATATAAATCCTGCATTACCTCAAGGAACCTAAACAGTGGGAATTATGGCATACTCCTTATTATGGGTAATGCAGGATTTGGGACTTTCCGGATAGAGGGGACGCTAAAAAAGTACCCTAAATAGTAGGATCCTTATTATAAGGGTCCCAAAATCAGGTACCCCTACTGTGGATGGACAATATCCTGCATGACCCAATATAAGGGATGTACCATAATTCCCATAGTTTAGGGTCCTCAAGGTCATGCAGGATTTTGTCCATCAGCAGTATTTCCGGAAATTCCCATTTATACCATCAAACCGTAAGACTCAGGTGCCGGCCCTTGAGTTCTGGCGTGAGAGCAACATCGTTTGGAGCTCGATCCAAGTGCCGCTCGGGGGCCCCCTCGATTTGGGCGTCGAGGTGCAGGGTTTAGGGCTTTAGAGGTTTAGGGTTTAGGGCTTTAGAGGTTTAGGGTTTAGGGCTTTAGAGGTTTAAGGTTTAGGGCTTTAGAGGTTTAGGGTTAAGGGCTTTAGAGGTGCAGGGTTTAGGGCTTAAAATTCCGGTTCAGGGTGCAGGGTTTAGGGCTCTTAAAATTCAAGGTTCAGGGTTTCCGGTTCAGGGTTCAGGGTTAATTCAGGTGTAGGGTTTAGGGTTGATCCGGGTTTTGACTTTTGGGTCTAGGGTTTATGGGTGCCAAGGTGCAGCAAGTGGGTCGTGATCGCCTCCTGGCATTCCCCGCACGTCCGGCCTGGCGGCGCTATCTAAGAAGCGATGGCGAGTTCTCGGATTTCATCGGCCCTTACGAGATCAAGCGTTTCGAGCCGTCGGACATCTGGTTGATCGGTGCCTACGAGCCCATCGCATTGGAGGGCTCTGTGCAGATCAGCTCTGGCTACATCAGCGCGAGACGGCTGCCCTTGCCCCTGCCGGAAGGTCACTCCATCCACGCCTTCAAGCTGGAGAACGGCTGCGCAACCGTGCTGATGGCTCGGGGGTTGTCGGGTGAAGCCATGGAGGGTCTGAAGGATGGGAGGCTTCAGAAATTCCGCCTTTATGGGCTGGAGGAGGAGGATCTCAGAGCGGTCCGCTTTCAGGCAGAAGGTGATCCTGTTCCCTTCAAGTTTAAGTTCCCGGCCGTGTTCCAGGGGCATGATCCCCGTGGCGAGGGTTATTATCCGGTTTTGGACAACTTCGATTGGAAGCTCAGAGGTACTTAGAGATTTTTTGGCACTATGATCGCTACGAAACAGCTAAAACCTTCTAGTTTTTGCTTGGGGTCTCAGTTCAGTACAGGAAGGAGGGGGACCAGTCCGAGGGCGCCAGGGGGAAACGCTTGGAGCGGGGCCCCTCACTACCGGATGGGATCATTGGCCGCAACCTCTGCGGCCGGCTGCTCCTGGGTTCTTGTTTAGGTTTTAGGGTTTGGGGTTTAGGGTTTAGGTTAAGCAGCTTCATCTTAGGTTTTAGGGTTTGGGGTTTAGGGTTTAGGTTAAGCAACTTCATCTTAGGTTTTAGGGTTTGGGGTTTAGGGTTTAGGTTAAGCAACTTCATCTTAGGTTTTAGGGTTTGGGGTTTAGGGTTTAGGTTAAGCAGCTTCATCTAAGCTATCATAATAGGGATCTACGGTAGAAGATTCCTGAACCCCAAACTCAACAAGAACCCAGGCTCGCTCGTGATTGCGTCCAACAAGATGGTCTAAATATTGAGCGAGGATACAATTTCGAAGTTTCGGTACCTGGGCTCCGCAATAAGGAATCTAGTTTTTAAGTTACCAATAGGGATCTACAGTAGATAACAACAGGGTTTCCTTGATTATAGTAGCTTAAGACTTCCGCCACAAGAGCCCTAAACTCTATCCCCTAAACCCTTTTGGCTCAAGCCCAATTTTGGCTCAAGGCCCGGAGGGTAGTGTCGCCGCTGGTCGTTGCCGAAAGTCGAGGGGGTTCGCCGTCATCTCTAGAAGGGGATCGTGTACAGGGGCGACTTCCTGGATTGGCTGCTGTGGGGCGCCTACGGGGCGATTCCGGACTTTGTGACGATGGGGCCTTCGGGGATCAAGATCGGGCTGCCGGGGCAGCTTCCTCCACTTCCTGATGACGATGATGATCTCCGTGAGGGGCAGCCGACCAAGTCCGAGAGTCCGACCAAACGGAGCAGAGGTACTGCTAGTGCTGACCCTGTACAACAGCTTACCACAGAAGCCTTTCGACTACTTCTACAAGAGAACAACAAGACTCTGATGGGATTGCAGAAGCAACAGCTCGATGCCTCGCTCTATGAGTTGGAAGCACGTCAGGCCGCGAAGATGGACAAGCTACAGGAGAAGGTGGACAGCCAAGAAACCCAGTGCCTGGACCTTGCCCACCAGATGAAGGAGATGAGTGACAGAGTGCGAGCCCTGGAAAGCAGGGGAGGAGGGGGAGATCGAGGACCGGACCGGCGGTTCACACTTATCTTTGGGGGGTGGGAAACCCAGACAAGGAGGGCTACGATCCTTACCCAGCTTGGTCAAGCTCTGGATGCACTCAACCTCTCTCAGGATTTCGACCAGGCCCCCTTTACCACAGGGCCAAGACGGTCCGTGGCCTTGGCGAATTTCGTGATCCGTTCCGAGGAGTCCGAAGGGGGTCCCAGAGCCAGAATGATGAAGATCCTTCAAACGATCAACAGTGCCAAGGTAGAACTCCAGGGCGGCTCCAGGCCTTTGTGGGCGAGTTTCTCGCGCAGCCCCCAGGAGCGTGGGAGAGCAGCCGTGACAGGACTTGTCAAGAAGGCTGTCATGCGCCATGCACCACAACGCGCAGACGACCTTGACTTGGAGTACAGCACTGGTTCTTCCTGGATACGGGAGGATCAGATCTCTGGAATGGGGGTGCCACCGAAGGAATGCCGCAGGACTCGGTCGTTGACTACCAAGGCTGGGGAAGCATGGCTCGATGAACACACCTTGGCGAAGTGGCTCGGGGTTGAATGTTCCGTTGTGGCTGCCTTAGCCGACGAGCACAAATTCTGATACCTTGAAGTTGCACAGGCTGCTGAATCCAAATTGCATGCTGATGAGCTGAATCCTGCGAGCCTTGCTGCCTCGAGCTCTACTACACCTTTGCCTCAAGATCCCGGAGGGGCCAGTCAGAGCACCAACGAGGGTTTTAAAGTCATTGGATGGAACGTCGGGGGGGCTGATGTGCACCTGTTGCCGAAGGCAATTCGTGACGGCTCCGGAGAGGATGTGCGGCGAAACGACCTTGTGATGCTGCAGGAGTTGCTTAGGGAAAGTGAGGGCTGGTCTTTCATGAATGTGCAAGGCAGAAGGCTTGTGGCGCATAGGGATTCGCACCAGTGGCGTGGTACAGGGCTGTGGTATGACGAGCGAGCCTGGTGTTTGCTACGAAAGCTGCCCACGCCCAGGGGGACTTGGTTCAAGATTCGCCATCTCGAGGTGAATGTGGAAATGTGGCTCGGGACTGCACACTTTACCCCGGGTAGCACCGTTCAGAGTTACGAGGGCGAGGCTGATTCCCACTTTAAGGTCCTGCCGAGGAATGCACACAGAGTTCTGTTTCAGGGTGACATCAACACGGGGTTCACGTGGCTGACTGAGGGTTGTGACATTGAGGCGGTTGCGAAGGAGGGCAAAGGGAACATTCTGCACCAAGTGGTTCTGGAGTCAGGGCTTTCGTTCTTACCACCGTGTGAGCCGCATCGAGAGCTACCCACGAGCAGACCTCGACAAGAAGAAAGAGAAGGTCAATGCATTGATGTTTTTGCTGGCAAGAGTGTTGCTCCGAGAGAAGTGAAGATTCACAGGGATTCTTACTTATGTCTAGGGACAGACCATGAAATCTTGGAGTGTAAGCTGGCCTTCCCTCGGGCAGCCATCCGAACCAGACATGCTTGTCATCCAAGAGTGGTGTGTCGGGAAATACCCCAGATTGACTTCATTGACCAAACAGTGTTACAGCAGCTTGCCAGGAGTCATACAAAACCGAAGCCTGGTGCAGGCTACAGAGATCCTCAGGAAGTCAAGGACGCTTTCAGGGAAGCCAAACTTAGGGGAACGCCGGTGCTGTGGAAAGAAGCCCTTAAGAAGAGGAAAGTGGCTAGGAAGGCCTGGGAACAAGAACGCCTGCGGAAGGCTGCAAGTGGTGACTGGGGGTCCTTTCGTGCACTCCAGAAGCCCAAGCATGTAGGCTGGGATGTTTCCTTTGCTGAAAATCCGCACCTGGTCGTCCACCAGCACCTTTCTTCCGTGTACGAAGGTCCTGCAGTCGCGCACGAACCACCTTTCACTGGAGTTATCAGGGCTTTCACCGACGAGGAGCTGCAGGTCGGTCTGGGACAGCTGAAGAAAGGGAAATCGGTTGGGGTTGACGGCACTTCCACTGAACTGCTATTGGCCGTGGCACAAGCACCCGGAGGGGCCTCACACTTGCTGGAGTATTACAACCGTGTACTCACCACTCAACAGATTCCCAGACAGTGGAATGAACCACTCATGATTCTGCTACCCAAGATTCGTGAACCGCTTCTCGCAAAAGATCTTCGGCCCATTGCTATGTCCAGTGCAGTGGGGAAACTTTTCAGTAGGCTCCTGTTGAATCGTACTTTGCCTTCGATTGCACCATCTACTTATGCTCAATGTGCAGGAGCTCATCGCCAGAGTTCAGATTACTTGTACACGGCTTTTCGTACCTTCGAGTTAGCCCGTGAATGGGGGCACCCCCTCACACTGCTAAAACTCGATCTCGAAAAAGCTTTCGACAAGTTGGACAGATGTGCTTTGATCGAACAACTGGCAACACGCCTTGGCGAAGGGGCAGAACTGCAATGTTGGAAAGGACTCCTTGAGACGACCTTTGCTGAGCTCCAGACCCCCTGGGGCAACAGCACCATCGAGATGAACAGAGGGATAAAACAAGGGTCGATTGAGTCACCGAGCTTCTTCGGGCACATTGCTGAGGTCATTCTGGCGCTCGCGGTTGAAACTGAGGCCTGGTCTCGACAGCAAAGGGTTCTCGAAGGGATGGATGCTGAGGAAATGTTGTTTGTCGATGACGGGCTGTTGTGGAGCAGAAGCTGTGCCGCCATCCAAACCAGGGTTGAGGTGTTGTCGATCGAGTTGGAGAAATTTGGACTGAGGATCAATCCCGGGAAGTGTCAGCTCTATGTGACTGCCAACGTTGAGGATGGTAACTGCGTCTATATTAGAGGGGTCAGGGTCGCTTCATCTCCTGCCATCGAGATCATGGGCATCAAAATGTATGTGGGGATCTCCATCTATGAACTCGTCTCCCCCCTGGCTGCTAGAGCACGAAGCAAGTTCTGGGAACTCAAGCACATCCTGAGATGCAAATCCAACATAAAATCCAGGGCCAGGGTTATGCAGCGGGTTGTTGGGGGCACAGCTCTGTGGTGCCTCAGTAGCTTTCCACCGGATGCTGCTGCGATGTCGATGTTGAACTCAACACAGCTACAACTTATGGTGTGGCTGTTGAGATTCGCCAAGCGCTCTGAAGAGAGTTGGGAACAATATCGACAACGGGCCTTCAGGGGTGCTCGTAGCGCCCTGCACAGCGCAGGGATCGAAAGATGGTCGACACTGTGGTTGCGAAGATGGTGGTCCTTCGCAGGCCACCGGGTGAGAGGGATGCTTGCTGACAGTCCGGTCATAAGCTGCTTGTACGAGGACTTCAGAACAGGGTCTTGGTGGCAGAGGGAGAAGAAACGCAAGGGTGGACTCAGTCACTGTCGGCATTACCCCCGCCTATCCAACCTCGAGAAACATATGAACGAAGTCACCCAGGGACCATGGCGAGAGAAAGCTCACGACAGGAAGGGTTGGAAACAGTTGGAAGCACTATGGGTTCAAACCATGGATCTGCCTTGGGCTTCAGGACGGCAACTCTCAATTCGGGACCTCCAAGTGGATGTTTGACGGGCAAGGGTTTTGTGTACGTTGGCAACCGTGTCATGGATCAGGGCGGACGAAGTGAAGACCGCGGTCTGATGGCTCTAGCTCTGACTGTAGTTGGTGCTGCTGACATCGTGACCCCTTGTTGCGATCATGATCTACTTCCTTTGCGGGTGTGTGGTGAGCCTTTGGGGGTCCACTGCACTCTCTCATCCTGAAGGGATGGGTGGCCTGCCTGGCTATGGAACACAAGGGACTGGGGCCGAGTCAACAACGATTTGGCACCAAACTCAGATGTGCCCGATGCCCTTTCATACCTATGTTGGCGAGATGACGAAGGATCTTGTGATCTCATCCTTTGGGACGTCAGCGACCCAACTTGCATGGGAATTCAATCCAGGGCCTGCACTTGGGCAGAACTGGAGCCACTATGCAGTCAACGAGGAAACGACCCGCACTCGGGAACATCAAGCTTCGCGTGCAGAATCAGAACAAGGTGGGCGGAAGGTGAAGCACCGGGACTCCCTGGAGTACACGATCCGCCCCAAGATCACGGGCAACTTTCATGGACAACCTGACGGTGCCGTATGGGCCAAAAAAGGGGAACTGATGACTGATGCCACGTCCCTGCTCACGCTCACCGGTGTGTGTCTCCTCTCCTCACAGACGTGGGCCTTTGACCGTCCCTTCGAGGAGCACAGCATGCCTGGCTGGTACGAACATGTCAGGGACAACGCACGCTACCTGCAAGAAAGGGGTGGGGCAGTCCGAGACATCTTCGATGCCGTACTCCGAGTGGTGCGCACCTACAATGACGAAACCTTTGAAACCCAGACCGAGCTCATGATCAATGGAATCCTGAGGGCTATGCACGACAACATGGACCAGACCGCCTGGGACAATGACCCGGTCACCGTCGCCAGAGGACCTCCCACTCGGTTCGAGATCGATGACTATGCCGAATGGGCGGTGCAGACGATCCGTCAAAGATGGCACTGGACCCGATGCCCCGAAGCCATGCAAAACCGGGAGCATGAAAGACAATTGCGGTCCTTCGCGCTTCCTCCCGCCTTGACACCTGAGCGAGACTTTGCAGAGTACAGGGAACGCCAGACGCTCAGTCGCTCCCGCACACCGCAGAGACGGCTGAGTACAAGGGACCCCATCGAGGAGGAGGCTGACGATACAGCCATGGTGCAAAAGCGTAAGCATCAAGGCACGCCAGAGCAAACTGGTCCCACTCGGAGGAGGCGGCACCGGGAGTGGATCAACCTCGCTGGCAACCAGTACCACAACCTGGGCAGTGCAAGGAATCGGGAAAAAGCAAAGCGAAATCTCCTGGGACTTGTGTGCCGCACCCATGGTCCCGGTGCGTTGGACTACGCCGAACAACTGTTGCAAGAGCTGACTGTGGACCTGCCGCCCCCTACGACACAATCCACGCAGGAACCCTTGACGGTTGATGCCTGGGTTCGAAATGTGGCTGAGGTGATTGGAAACAGATGGCGGCAACACCGCTCAACAGCTAGTTCCTCGTCCAGGGGAGACGAGAATAGGCCACTCACACCGAGTCGGACTGATCATCCCGGTTTTGAGCTGGACCCGCCTTCTTTGGTGCCGTTTGGCATCTTCCACGCGGCACATGTGTGGCCAAACGGAACGTGGAGTACCCGCAACGAGCTCATCCGCATGGGACGCCACGACCTCGTCCACGAATGGGATCATGGGCGGCCGGAGAATTCGACCTTGGAGAACAGTGAAGAGGAACCCGATGCACCTGACGACCAGGATGACGAGGCTCACTCGCTCATGCAAGGGGCAATGTCAACCAGGCCTACTTGGGAGCATCTCATGGAACAACTCACCACTTGGATTCGGGAAGGAGCCACCCTTGACCCCTTCATCGACATGGTCAGGGGCCTGGTGCATCGCAGAAACCTGGTGGGATATCATGAGTGGGTTAAAAAGCCTCTCACTACTATGAGGTTGAGCTTTGCTGCACAGGAAGGGGAGACCAAGACCGACCTCGTTCCCGCCATGGAGCAAGTCAGCATGTGGGTCGCCAATGTCGAAGCATGCCTCTGGGAAGGCTACGGGCGGCACTGCCAAGAATGTCTTCGTGATCTACAGACGGAAGGAGAAGAGCTCCACCTCATGGAGAAGCACAGGGGCTCCAGGGACACTGTCCATCGTCGACGCAGAAGCCACAATCACAGGCCGAGAAGCCGATCAGGCAGAGGGGAGTTCCACACGGAGTCGATCAGGTACCTTGGCGACCCCAGGGACTGCTATACCCCCAGGAACGTGGACCGGGACACCATGAGAGTTGAACCACCGACAAGGAGCCCACCGTCAGGCGCGAGCAGAAGGGAGACGACTCGCAGGGCCAGGACAGAAGGCGGCAATGGCACGACATGGGTGGACCGACGGCATGCACCACAACCAGATGCAACGGGAGGGTCGGGTGCTGGAAGCTCCACCGACCGACCGCGACTGGCGCGCCCTGCCGGGCGAATGTCGAGCGATGCTGCTGTTGACATGTGGCGCTACCTGTTGGGCATCGACAGACGCAGCTGGCCTCAGGGAAGAGAGGTGGTGGCGGCTGGGCATGCCTTTCTCCCCCAGGAAAGCCGCGACCTCATCACCGACAACTTTCGTTACATGTCCGAGGCCAATCGACTTCAAGCTACCATGAGCTTCGTCAATGTGCTGAGGTTTATGATGGCGGAGGTGGCTTACCTTATGCAGTTTGGCACCGTCCAAGGCAGAAGCGACGAGGGTGAATATGTAGAGGTCGAAGTCACAGAAGATGAAAGGGACCGGGATGGCGAGGAGAATGGCCTTATGCAAAAGTATCTTCTCACGGGAGGAAAAGACACCCTGGAAAATAGGTGGGCCCGTGCTTTGACACGGATGCAGAAAGACCTTGGGGATCAGCCGAAGGCCGCACGACTGGCAAACATACGGCGGATTCGACAAGCTCTTCCAGCATGTGAACCATGGAGTGGTGCAGAAGATCGCAGAGAGCAGCTTCGCGCCTTGCTGGTGGCCATGATCGACCCCTGTGTGGAGGGAGAGCTCCCAGCAACGGAGGAGTGGTTGGCGAGTTGGGGTAATGAGCTGGAATTCTTCATCCCAGGTACCCTGTTCAACCTATGCGTGGAGCCGACTGACAGCCCCGATGTTGTTCTGATCTCCGAGCACACTCGAGCACCTCATGCACAAGGACTACCTGAACACGAAGAACCACGATCAGACCAGGGCCTGGCTGAAGAGAGAGCAAGCTCGAGTCACGGGCCGCAAACCTATGCCCAACAAGAGCTGGACACAGTGCGGCAACAGGCTGAGGAGTACCGAGCCTGGGAACGGTCCTTGATGCAGGCGGAACTTGACAGGGTCAACCCTCGCAAGCGAGTTCGGTCGTGTTGCCAAATCGAAGTTCAGACCAGTACGAGTTCCACTGGGAAGGCACGTGTGAGCCATACCTACTCCATGCTGGTGCCGACCAACGGATCCACGATGCACATCGGCATCACTGCCCGCATGGTGGAGGAACCAGATGAGGTCTCCACCCTGCCCGTGGCTAGTCCAATGCATGAACCTCAGGAACCACCGCCTGAAGGGCATGAACAGAGTGAGGATGGTGCGCGAAACTCCCCCTCGATCGACTTCGCAAGATTTCAGGGCCTGTTTGATTCCTGGAAGGCAGGGAAACTCACCATTGAGGAAATCTGCAGGGACTACGGGGAGGAGATGGCGGAGCTGATTGTGACCCACAAGCTCGTCGAGGAGAATAGCACTGACACCATGGAGGCTATCCGCAGGCAGCAACAACAGGGAGGAGGTGCGACAGATGTGGCACTCGGCCCAGAAGGCGAGGGTGTACAAGGGGCTGAGACAGGGATCACAAATGCCACCACGCTCCCCTGGCCGATTGTGTCAGCAACGATGCCTGAGTCACCTGATGTGGATGTGGAGCATGGTGGGGATGTGGCCACTGCTGAAAGGCGAGATCGTGGGTTGTGACTGCAGGGGTTCGCTCGAGTACTACCTGTGCCTGAGGGTCTGGTTAGGGCCTCCCACACCAGTGGGTTTCGCCGACCTTAACTGCTAGGCGGAAAAAGGTGCTCAAAAAAAAAAAAAAACCCTAGAGCCTGAACCCTAAACCTTAAACCCGAAGCCCCGAGCCATAAGCTCAGGAAGTGCAAGAAGGAGGGGCGCTTCAGCGGCTGGCCACATGGAAAGTCGTAGGCCACATCATCCACCAATGCCAGGCTTCTGGGTTCTTGTTCTTAGGGTTTAGAGCTTGGGGGCCGTCAGAGTTTTAGGGTTTAGTGTTGAGTGTTTAGTTTTTAAAAGCCTAGCAAAGAAGCCTAAGAGTTAGTAACAACATTATTTTTTGGTATGGTTCGAAGGCTTTCTAGTGTTGAGGAGCTTGATTGAAGCTACCATACTAGGGAAACTCCATTATTCAATTCACGATGGATCCCTATTATGTTATTAAGGAAGCCCTACTATTTACCATAGATCCCTACTATGGAAGCTGAGTTTAAGCTCCCATATATAACAAGTACCCAGGCTCTGGGAGACCGGCTCTTGCTGATGGCTGGAGAACGCAGTGGTGAGGATGCGTTCTATGAGAGCATGCAGCTCGTCGAGTGGCCTACACAGAGCAAGGTGCGAGAAGTTCCTCTGAAGTTTGAGCCGAGCTACATCGAATCCGAGTGGCCGCGCGGGATCCTGTCCGGGAGCACACAGACCTTCTTTACGTGCCACGAGAAGAACGCGTTCAGTGAATGGGTCTTCGTCTTCGCGACTCCGGAGACGTAGGGGCAGCTTTTTTGTGGCAGTTTTTTTTTAGCAAGCCAGAGACTGGCTAGCAAACCCGAAACCTTAGAGGCCCGCTCGCGGAAGGAGAAACGAGCAAGGGCTCGGTGATTGGCCGCCCATGCACCGCCCCAGTCTAACTTTTCATGACCCTAGCATAAAACCTCTTAAGACCCTCTACTGATGGATCTATCCATCGCTCTGGATTTGGCCATTTCTGATGGCTTCAAAAAAGGCATCCACTTCACTTCCAAGAAGTGCTAACTTTTGAAAGTTCTACCGATCCCCTCAACCTGGAACCCCAATTCCTGAACTCCGAACCCCCTCTTCCCCTCTGCACCACAAGCTCGCCGACTAGAAGAATGTGAACACCGAACACTTAGGCCCAGCGCCAGCCTACGACAAGGAGGCGCAATCACGCTTGGGACGTTCTTGCGGAGGCAGCGCATGCGGGTTTTTGGTCGGGGACTGTTCGGGATACATTTTCTACGCTCACTATAGGGGCCTGCATAATTACCAACACTATTTTGCGGTTTCCTTGTTACATCTATAGTTTAGTGGGCCCGAAAACCCTATTCCAATTATTGAGGCCCCTATAGTATTGTTTATTTCAGGTCATTTAAGGTTTGGGCTTTACGGCTGATCGCAGGGTGTAACTTGGGGTTTCGCAGCAGGGTTCATGGTTCGGGTTGACGCTTGTAGAAGCGGGTTTCACATGCGCTAGTACTTTGGTGATAGGAGTTGTTTTGGAGGTTCAAGGCTTACATGTGTCGCTTAGCAAGGGGCGCATCTGCCTCTACGCCGACGTGGTCATGTGCATGTCTGCGTTGGTGATTTGCACTGGCGAGTGTGCAGCTATGCAGACACATTGTTCTTGTGCAGATATTGACGTGTCTGTGTACCCATGCATATCTGTGTACACATGGCTCATAAGTTTATGCATGTGTATGCGCATGTTTGTGTGTGTCTGACTTTGTGCATTTGTACATTGCGGGCACACCTATACTCACTGATGCAGGAAAGAGCTTTGTACCTTGCAGCACGCTGTGTAGATCTGAGATGGTCGTAAAGTAAACCCCGAAGCCCTAAACCCCCAAAACCGAAACCCCAAATCCTAAACCCTGAACCCTTAACCCTATGCCCCTAAACCTTAAACCCTAAACCCATGAACCCTAAACCCTAAACCGTGCCTTCGGCAGGGCCGCCCTCCAGCAAGATTCTGCTTGCTCTCAGCGCGGGCGCTTTCTTGCTGAGCTCTTGGCTTCCCGGCCTGAGGGGTTGAGGATATAGGAATCAGAGGGTTTAGGTTTAGAGTTTAGGGTTTGGGGTTTGGGGTTTTGGGTTTGGGGTTTAGGGTTTAGGGTTTGGAAATTCAGAGTTTTGGGGTGTAGAGTTACCCAGATCTTCCAAAGTCCCCTAAACAAGAGATTACACCTTGAAGCGCTTTTTAGGGATCCTAGAAGCGATATTCCTGAAGCGATTTGGTAAGATTTGAGTATGGGACGCAGGGCTGGGGATGAAGCCCGAGGCCTTACTGGCCTCTGAGTTCAACCTGAGCCCTAAACCCTTTACCCGAATCGCGCAGGCAGAAGTATACGGGCCCGCAAAGACAGAAACAAAGGTAGGTTTAGGGTTTAGGGTTAGGTTTAGGGTTTGGAGTTTGCTGTGATACTACCGAGGACCGTCTCTTACTCCGCCTTTCGTAGCAAGCTGGACAGTCGCTGGGGCGCCTTGGCTGCGCATTGCTTGTGTCTGTTCCGTCCGATGTTATACTATAATATACTATAATGATACAGAGAGCGTCACTATACCAGATAGTAATATATTGTAAGATACTATGATAAACTCTAGTATACTCCAATAAGATCCCAGAACCGCTCCATCCCGTCTGCCAAGGCTTCCTGCTGAATGGTGCGGTCTGCTCAGACTTGCTAGCTGTTGGGACGTATTTCGAGCATAAACCATGCAGCAAGTAAGAGCTGCCAAGGAAGCGCCAGTGTGGCTGGGAGAGTTTGGAACAAACGGCTACTGGATTTCGGACGGCTGGTCTGCGGAGGCCGACCAGGATTCCAAATGGTGCATCTGAAGAACCCGCTTGATCTTGAGAGGTCGGAGAAGTGCTCTGGCTCAGCCATATCCTGCGGTACATGCCCCTTGGCTTCAGGATGCAAGGCCGCACGTCGGCCAAGATCATAGATCTGCATGTGCAGACAGGCAGGAGCATGACCTGGACTACGCTTACTGGGCGCTCAATGGCACCCCGGTCGCAGGTGTTTTGACCACAAAACTTGGAACCTTAAACTCTACCCTAAACCCTAAACCCTAAAGCGCTTAACCTAAAGCCTGCCACCATCCTCCAGTCATCTGCAGTTTATGGTTCAGGGTTTAGGGTTCAGAGCTTAGGGTTTAGGAGTTAGGATCAAGAAATTCTTTTCCTAATAAGACTTAGTAGTCCCTAATAAGACTTAGTAGTCCCTAACAGGCACTTTCTAAAAGCAAACAGCTGTCAGTTGCTCTTTCGCAAGCAGAAGCCATTATCACTTATTTGCTTCAGGTTTTCTTTTGAGTACCGAGCTGTTAGATTGCCGCAACCCATCCCCGCTCTCCTCCGAGAGACGTGGGCCTGAGCCAAAAAAATGTGTGAAAAGCAAAATAAAAGCCTCCAGCAACCCCGTAGAAACCCCCGTGGTAGGATCGTCAAAGCTCTGAGAAGCTCTTTTAAGGCACCCGAGCCCTGTTCTTAAAAGCTCTTAATAGCCCTCAAAAGCCCTTCATAGCTCTTATTAAACCCTCAAAAGCCCTTAATAGCTCTTCCCAGCCGCTCAAAAGCTTTACAAAACCAGTCCCAGAACCTTGTGATGCCTTTGCAAACCAGGCAAGGTGTTCTACTCACCGTGTTGATGTGGGGGTGTTGGGCAGGTGGCATATGTGGGACGGGGGTGTCCGGGGTGTAGTGGTGGCTAGAACGGCTGGGCAGTGCACGCAGACATTAGGCGCGGACTGGGTGCTAGACCCAGCCCGACTCAAATACCACAATCAAGATCTTTGTTGTTGGGGGTCTGTTTTTGACCCCCCCCCCCCCAAAAAAAAAAAAAATTCTTTGATAGGAGTTCACGGGGTTTGGAGTTTCGGATTTGGGAGTTCAGGCCTGAGGGTTGAGGATTTCGGAGTTCAGAGAAGATAGGGACTGGGGCCTCAACCGGATCTCGAGGTGACAAGGCCGGAGACGCCGATGAGACCTTCGGGCTCCTGGCGCAGGATGCTTTTTGCCAACTGGGTTTAGGGTCTAAGGTCTAGGGTTTGGGGTTTAGGGTTTAGGAGTTTAAGTTTTAGGGTTTAGGGTTTAAGTTTAAGGGCTTAAGTTTCAGGGTTTAGGGTTTAAGTTTTCGGGTTTAGGTTTTCGGGTTTAGGGTTACAGGGTTTAGGGTTTAGGAGTGCAAGGGCTTAGGGTGGGAGGTCAGAGGTTCAGGATTTAGGGTTATGGTTTAGGGTTTAGGATTTAAGGTTTAGGGTTTAGGGAGCTTTGCAACTCTAAGTTTGCGGCTTGGGTTTAGGGCTTGGGGGTGAGGGTCTCGGGCTGTAGACCTTTGTGTTGATCTGTTTGACATCTAGGGATTAAGGGAATTGAAGTTCAGGGTTTAGAATTCTGGGGTGGGGCTTCAGGGCTTGGGCTTTAGGCTTTAAGGTTTCCGCTTCAAGGTTTGGAAGTGGAATCTAGAGTTTAAGGTTTCAAGCTTTAGTTCTTAAGGTTTTCGGATTCACGGGTCAAGTTTTGTTGATATTTGTGCGATTTGGGGTTTCGGGCGAGGGATCAGGATTTCGGATTTAGGATTTAGTTTTCAGGCTGTGCATGAGGCGGCCTTGTACCAACAACCCGAGTGGTCAAAGCACGCATTAGACCGAAGATGCCCCTCAAGCCTTAACCCTAAACCTAAACCCGACATCCCATAACATCCAGACTCTTCATCTATGGCCTGCCGATTTGCTCCAGCACCTCCTTGGGCCGTAAGCACATGGCTGCGCAGCCATGTTCAACCTTACTGTGGCTTTGCTCAGTGGGCAGAGGCACTCGTCACGGATTGGGGCGGGGTCAGAGTTCTCAGGTTACGCTTTCTTTCGAATCTGGATCTTGCAATCAGCTGGCTGCCTGACTACTCCTGAGATTTGCTTTCTGCCCGCCAGAATCTCTGCAACTCGTGACATGTGACACGTAATATAGGCGCCTAAATAATTACCAGTATATACTATTTTGGGGGTTCCTTACTATAGTTATAGTATAATGGGCCCCCCAAACCCTATTCTATTAAGCCCCCTATATTATGGTACCCTTATAGGTCCCTTATCGTAACCCTCATAGACACGTTTAAGAAATCTCCCGCAGTTGAGAACAATTGAGTGCCTGAACAAAACCGTGCGAAGCTGGGTTTAGGGTTTAGGGGTTTAGGGGTTTAGGGGTTTAGGGGTTTAGGGGTTTAGGGTTTAGGGGTTTAGGGGGTTTAGGGGTTTAGGGTTTAGGGGTTTAGGGTTTAGGGGTTTGGTTTAGGGGTTTAGGGTTCAGGGGTTTAGGGTTTAGGGTAACCGTGCGCAACTGGCGTCCTTTTATCGTGATAACGGCTTTGCACATCCCACTCCGGAAAGCTGTTCAAAGCCCTTCACATGGAGATCAAAAAAGAGCTAGGTTGCTCACAGACTTTGGTTGACCGCTAGGAATGACACATGATATCGAAAAACTATACACCCCCTATTGCAGTCCCTTTCAAAGCCAGGCCTCTACGCTTAAAGGCCTGGAGTATAAAGCCCAGCAAAATAACAATAGCCTTGTTTCAACACTGCTTGAAAGCAAGGGGTGGGGAGATGCCGCTGACGTCCAGAAGTCCGCACACGTAATTTCGATCTGCTTTCGAAAGCATTCTAAAACCCTCAACCCTACTCTAAGCGCGCCAGCGCAGGCCTAATGAACCCTAAAAACCTTCAAAAGACCTCTTTCAATGCTCTTGCACCCTAAACCCTAAACCCTAAAACCCTAAACCCTGAAGGGCCGAGATTGCCTTGGCGTCGGACCGCCCGGTCCACGCTTTGCGCCGGGCGGCAGAGTCGGCGCTGGATCGGCCCCTGAAGGTCCAGACGGTTTTGGGGTTTAGGGGTTTAGGGGTTTAGGGGTTTAGGGGTTTAGGGTTTGGGGTTTAGGGTTTAGGGTTTAGGGGTTTAGAGGTTTAGGGGTTTAGGATGGTCTAGGTTTAGGGAATAGGGGTTTAGGGGTTCGGTTAAGGTTTCAGGGCTAGGGTCTAGGGGTTTAGAGTTTCGGTTTTAGGGTTTAGGGTCAGGGTTTAAGGGGTCTAGGGTTCATCAAGGGGTTTCGGGTTTAGGGTAATGGGGTTTACAGGGTTCAGGGTTTGAGGCTCTTGGCTCGGGAATTGTGTCCTTTGGGTTTTACATTTATCATTACTATTGCGACCCGCTGACGACTATCATGATTGTTTTTGCTAGTGTCACTTCGAGTATCATCATTCTAGGGTTCAAAGGGGCTTTGCTGTTAGGGTTTAAAGGTTTAACGATTTTTAGGGCTTAGGGTTTAGCGTTCATAGTTTTCAGAAACCCCAAGCATTAATTAAACTCTCAACCCAAGCCTCTGGGGTTTAGGCCTCTCCATGCACCATGATGGTGAGTGTTTTTTGTGGTTGGTAGGGCAGTTGATGGTTTTATGGTTTTTTCAGGCACGAGCCCACCTGCAATCAGAAGGCAGCAGTGTACATAGACCCATGCAGAGCTTTGCGCATGGCATGGAGGTTCCAGAAGCGCCAGGGGGGGTGGGACGTGGATGGATAACGGATGCGATTGCAGCACAGACATGCACGATGCACGGCAGAGCATGTCATGTCAAAACTGTGCATGCCACGAGACAATCTTGAAGAAGCGAACAGCGTGTTCATAACCCTCTAATCTGAGCACAAGGCAACACGGCACAATATGCCCTACAGCGGAGATGCCACTGCCAGTTGGTAAGAAGGCAATGCAAGTGCCGCAAACGTAAGTGGCTTCATGAGACTGAGAGGGTCTGACGATTCAAGGAAGACTAGTTAAAGGGTACTGGACTCTGTGGATTAATAAAGATAGAATCTGGAAGATCATGGAAGCCTGAATAAGTCCCAATACTAGTCCTAAGGGTGCTTTATCACGACAACGAAACCCTGTGTTCTGATGGCAAAAGCCCGACTCCCTGAAGGCTCTGATCTCTCCAGGAGGCTTTTTGCTTTGGGACTTAGGGAATCGGGGTGGGGAGATCAGGACGCTGTCATGAAAGCTGCGGAGTTTAGATAAGAAGTTTTTGGCGACTAGATTTGGGGGTTTGGGATTTTGTGTGTTCATTCAGAGTAACTTGAACTCTTTAGTTTCGGATTTCGAGTTCAGCGGTCGTGAATCAGTGATTGCGAGCTTGACCTTCCAACGAAGGAGCGGAGGCCAGCATCAGCCATAGTTGAAACGGGTTTGCAGTGGTAGTTGTCATGGCACCAGAGTAGTACAGTAAGTAGAGTCATGCCATCGTGAGAAGGAGCATGAGCGTACCGAGAATAGAAACCAACATAGCGACGAGAATAGCAGTCAAGCGTAAGTAAGCGCATAGCCGTAATGAGACACGGAAATACCACGGCTAATGGATGCCCTGCATCAGTTTAGGTGCCCTAAGCTAACGGTATTTGATATTCTTTGAGATCAGCAGTACTAAACTAATAAGCGCATTAGCAAAAGAGCACCGTTAAGGCAGATGTCGTAACCATACCCTAAACCCGAAGCCCTGAACCGCTCGGCACGTGACTCCATACAGCTTAGGGTTTGAAGTTTGAGTTAAGCAGCCATAATCCTAAACTCTGAAGCCTGAACCATGGGTTTCAGGTCAATTTGGTAGCAGACTCTGCGTTCAGGAGGGTTCAGATTTGCGTGCTTAAGGCTTTTGGGCTTCGGGGTAGAAGGGTTTCGAAGTGGTTTAAGGAATCACGGCATGTTCATAGAGAGTTAGGGTATAAGGGAGCAGGGTTTAGAGTTCTTCTGAAAGCCATAAGCCCTGAAACCTAAGCCCTAAATCCAAAACCTTAAACCCTGAATCCCATCATCCCTACCTCCTAAACCCTAAACCTTATACCTCCTAAACCCCTAAACCCTAAGCCTTATAACTCCTAAACCCCTAAACCCTAAAACCCTATAAGCCCTAAAACTACTAAACCCCTAAACCCAATACCCTGAACCCTAAACCCTATAACTCCTAAACCCTAAACCCTATGAGCCCTATACCCTAAGAGCCCTCAATCCCAGCCAGGCCTTCGACTCAACGGCCCCAGCCGGCTGTGCGATGCGGGTCTCCAGGATGGCGATGTGCTGAACGCCACCATCCGGGAGCCAGGTGCGTTGATGTTTAGGGTTTAGGCTTTAGGGTCTAGGGGCTTAGGGGTTTAGGGGTTTAGGGTTTATGGTTTAGGGGTTTAGGGGTTGAGGGGGATTGGGGGTGGAGGGGGATTGGGGGTTAAGGGGGATTGGGGGTTTAGGGTTTTGGGTTTAGGGATTGGGGATTTGGGGGTTCAGAGTTCAGAGGTTGAGGATTTAGGGGTCTGGGGATTTTCGGGGTGATTGTAGGATTGTAGGGTTCAGTGTTTCTAGGGTTGAGTTTGATAGGGTTTAGGGTTTGCAGGCTTCGTTTTTCGGGTTTACTGCTTACGGTTTGTAGGTCGAGGGTCTGCAGTGGTTCTTCAGGGGAGGGTCGAGGTCTTTTATGGTTTATGGTTTAGGGGGTTTAGGGTTCATACGGTTTAGGGTAGTTTCGCGTTTTGTAGGCCTCAGAGGCTTTACAGCGTTCGCAGTTTATAGGGCTCAGGATTTACAGGGTTTAGGGCCAGGGTTTACAGGTGTTCAATTTATAGGATTTGCAGCTTGCAAGTTTTATGGTGTATAGGGTTTATAGTCCACAGGGTTTAGGTTTTGCAGTGTTGAGGGGTTTACAGGTTTAGGGTGCATAAGCTTTAGACATCGGGGAGCCAGGTCCTGTGATGGAGTCCTACAGGAAGGCAGGCTAGAGAGCGCTCCTCGCTTGGTAGCACTTAGCGACTTCTCCCATGCTCTTGGAAACTTGCTTTGTTAAGGACAGGAGGAAGCAGCTGCAATCCTAGTCTAAACTCTTTCCGGCGTTTGTTCTGCTATGCACTTTTTGCAGTCCGCAGTTTATCCCGCCGTGCTTTCGGCATTTAGGGTTCAGAGGCTCCGCGATTTTTGTAGTTTCGGTGCTTCGACCTCTGCATTTGGTTTAGGTTTGGGGATATAGGTCTTACACTCCTTTCGAGCTGGGTTAAATTGCGGTCCTGATTTACTGTTCTAAGTACTTTTTGGGATTGTGGCTCTTGGACTTTTGTTGGTTTAAGGTCTATAGGGGCGGCGCAACAGCAACAGCAGGTTTAGGGTTCAGGCGTTCGGGTTCGGGTTTCGTGCTTACCAACATTTCAAACGGTGCCGCCGTAGTGTGCTGCGTTGTTTGAAGCACAAAGCATGGCGGCCCTCAACCATAGACAATCCAAGTTGGCAGCGCAGGCTGTCGACTCCGCCTTACACATAGAGGGATTCCACACTTTAGGTCTTAGGGGTTTTCGATGCCGCTGCCAAGTAGAAAGAGAACCGCCAACACCCAACCCTCAGTTTTTGCAGGCGAGGGCTTTTGCGGCCATCGTCGGGGCTGCGGGGAATGTGGTGACCTGGGGAGCTCCGCACGGAGGTGGAGACAGCCGCTCTGTTCAGCAGCAGCTGTGCGACGTTCAGCACGTCCACATCTCCGAGTTCGCTTGCGCTGCCATCCGCACGGATGGAAGTGTCGTCACCTGGGGCTCGGCCGTGGCTGGAGGTGACAGCCACGATGTTAGCCATATGCTCTTCGACGTCGTCGAAATTTCTGCTACAAACTCGGCCTTTGCTGCAATCCGGCTTGATGGTTCGGTGGTCACCTGGGGAGATCCCGAGAATGGAGGAGACAGCTCTGTAGTTCATGAAAAGCTCAGAAATGTGCAGAAAGTCTATTCGTCCAGCACTGCCTTTTCAGCGATAACCAGCGACGGCGCCGTTGTGACCTGGGGCGCCAGCACCGGGGGTGGAGATAGCACGGCTGTGCAGGGAGAGTTACGGGATGTGCAGCAGATCCATGCGAACCGTTCTGCCTTTGCCGCTGTGAAGCTGGACGGTCGTGTGACGACTTGGGGAGCCTTGGCCAGTGGTGGAAATAGCTCTCATGTCCAGGAGCGCCTCGTTGATGTTTGTCAGATCCACTCTACAGCCAGAGCCTTTGCAGCTATGCAGACGGACGGGACGGTTGTGACCTGGGGTGCGCCCAGTGCAGGCGGCGACAGCAGCGGTGTGGAGCTGCTGGATGTCCTTCAAATCTTGGCGACGGAAGATGCCTTTGCTGCAGTGCGAGGTGATGGCACCGTCGTGACCTGGGGCTGTAGAGACTCTGGAGGCAACTGCCAAGACGTTCAGAGTCAGTTTCTCGGCTTCAAGTATTGTGCGCTGATTCGAAGCCTCCTCCAAAGCCAGTAACAGCAAGAGCCTCAGAGTATACGTACGGTAGCTGCTTCTTGATCGGCGCCTCTCTCTTCGTTTCTGCCTTTCTTGGCTTTAAGGTTGAGCAACGTGAGACAGCTGCTTGGGTCCGACATGCTCTCTTTGCCTAGATTGCTGCAGACCGACTTTCATGTTTCAGCATGAGCTTAATGTAGCCTTGGTGCAGAGCCCACCTGTGTAAGATAAACTGAAATTAGGTTGGTCGCGACGGATGCGGCCTTTGCTGCCATCAAGGAGGACGGTAGCGTGGTCGCCTGGGGCTGTGCCAGATTTGGAGGTGATTGCTCGAGTGTCGCGGAGCAGCTGCTGGAGGTACAGCAAATCCATGCCTCTGAAGCGGCGTTTGCAGCGATCAAGGAGGACGGTACAGTGGTGACATGGGGGAATTCCAGTGCAGGAGGAGACTCCTCTATGGTGCAGGGCAGTTTAGCTGACTTGCACCGCATCCATGCTGCGAGCGGTGCTTTTGCCGCAGTTCGGAACAATGGCCAAGTGGTCACTTGGGGAGATCCCCGGGGTGGAGGAGACAGCAGCACTGTGCAGGACAGGCTGGTCCCCTAAAGAGACCCGGTAAGACATGGCTTCAACATCGAATGAACTCCTACATTGCAAGAGTCGGGAGCCCGGCTTCTGCGCGAGAGTCTTCATTAAGGCATCAAGCTCTTCATCGATCAACGTGGGCTTCCGAGCTCCCTGTTGCCGACGTGTCATTCCGTCCGGAGAAAGATCGGAACCTCGCGTGGAGGCCGTAAAGCTGTTCTTCCCAGAGGCTGGCGCTGCGATGTGGCTGCGAAGAGACTCCATGGTCAGACGTTTCACTAGCTCACGGGATTGATGCACTGATGTCAAGACAGGAAAAAGACATGCCTGTACTGTGAATGTGGTGCAATATCGCCATGACTACTATGTACTTTGTCAGGACTACAAGACGATTCGTCATCCCTGGTTGTTGAAGCTTCTGCACCTCAGGCTATGAATTAGTCGTGTAGCAGTTGGTGAAGTATTCATGCCCTAAGCCCTAAACCCTAAACCGAGGATAGCTTGTTGGCTAAGGCCGTGATTTCCGATCAGCGAGTAGCACAAGCTCTACGTACAGCCCGTGGAGATAGCTGGACCCGGACGTCTGACAGGTCTGCATCGCTGACGATCGTGTCACCTGCACACAGATTTAGGACGGTTCAGGCCCCCGTAGCTCGCTCTCTCTTTCGGCACGATCTGGCGCCTTGGGAGCAGAAGCAGTAAAGTTGGACCGAGCTTTGTACTGTAGCTGAACCTGATGAGACGAAGCATGCGAGTCACGAGCAGAGCGCAACCCCCTTGCAGAGATCGGCATCTTCAAAGCTCGATTGCATGCTTGTTCACAGGCGACAAGGCTAAAGGTCCGGAGGAGCAGAAGGCTCGAGTCCGGGGAGACCTCCCCTTGCTTGTCCTAATATCATCGGGAGTGGGATCCGTGCCCGGCATCTTCTCTGAGGCATCGGCCACAAGCAGCTCGGCTCGAAGCTGAGGCCAAGTGGAGCCCTGCCCGACTCGTCGGGAGAAGGCTCCTCTGAGGGAGAGAGAGAGAGAGAGAGAGAGAGAGAGAGAGAGAGAGAGAGCGAGAGAGAGAGAGAGAGAGAGAGGGAAGCCATGTTCGGCCTGGCAGTATCGGCATCTTCTGGCATCGTGTCAGAGCCTCTGGCTCGCGCGAGCCGTGAAGATGTCGCCATGCGTTTTGATGCCGGGAGCCAGCTACGGGCCGAGCGTTCTTCCACACAGAATGCCCTGAGCTCAGCCTCCTCGAGCTTCGGTGAGAAGGGCTCCACTGTGCACGCGTGCAGCTTCACGTGCATCTTCCGTCGTCATAACGAGGTCCGTCCCTACTTCGCTGGGATGATCAGCTGCTGCGCGGTCCTGTCCAGGAGCAGAGCGATGCGAGCAAAGGCGTCTCGGTCTGTCTGAGGGGTCATTGTGTTGGATCAGTGTCTGATTTTTGAAGACCCCGGCCGCAACTGAGGTTCGGCGGTGGCACGGGCAAGGTCTGCAGACGGTGCCATGGCGCGAAGACGACCTTCGACAAGAGGGCTGGAGACCTTTGGGCACCTACCACGATGCCTCTGACCCGGAACACGGCGAGGCGCCGGGAAAGTCTCAGCAGCTGTACTGATGTTGTTCCCCGCAACTTCCCACGTGGATCGTGCGAAGCGAGAGATTGGCTTTTGCAACCTCCACTGCCATCGGCAGGCAACCATCTACATAAAGGACGACGCCGTGCGAATTTGCCACAGCATCTACGGACCCGTCCCTTGCAGCGACGGTGTGATCTTGCAGCATGACGAGGACGTCTACGATGTTCAGATGGGCGGTATGCAGGGGCGGATTGACGCCGAGGGCTTTCATTGCAGCGGCTACCTGAATCCGACAGTCGCTGCCGCTGCTCCACCGCCGGCAACTCCGGAGCCGGAGGTGAGCCGACAGCCCATGACATCGGCGCCCATCACCGAGCCCAAGCTCCAGAAGGCGTGTCGCAACCTGGCTGCCATCTTGGGCCCTGGGGCCTTCCCGAAGGAAGACTACGAGTCTATGATGAATCAAGGCAGCGCCTCAGACGCGCTCCTTTCAGAGGTCAAGGCCATGGGAGATGACTACGGGGGGTGGGCCGCCTTCGAAGCAAGTCGGGAACACGAGGAGACTCCCGAGCAGCACATTTCGGGCAAGCGGCATCGACAACTTCGCCGGGAGATTCGTTCCCGATTCTTCGTTCCCGGTGCAGGCCGTTTCTTTGAAGAGGTTGCCTATGACAGCTGGCGTCAGCAGCAGAATGCACGATGGCTTCCCACCGTAACTGAGCTCCGCACGGAAGGCTACATGCTAACGCACTTCGAGGAGCTCCAAAAGGAGGCAGAGGACGCAGCAGACTGTGTCCGTCGAACTCTCCTCACCGGTTCGGAGCTTTCCGACATCAAAGAGTTTGTCTTTGCTTTTGATCTCTCGTGCTTTTTCCGCTACCTTCCCAGGGTTGCGCGACTTGCTGCAACCCCACGACGCCTAGGCAGCTCGTGTCCTACGTGCTGCGGTATTACGCCTTCTGGGCAGTGGATCAGCATGCTCGGCGGTTGGACGAGGTCGAAGAGGCAAGGAGTGCCAGTCGCGTGTTTTGGGGACCGAAGCCAGCGACCCAGCCTTGTCCAGGCAGTGCGGGCAGATGCAGCGGCACTGAAGAACAAACCCAAGGTTTTGCTTCTACGCATAGAGCGGGAGCGGAAGAAGAGGCCTGGGAATACCTTGAAGAAAAGATTGCTCACTTCTTGATCTTCTTGGGAAGGCATCTGACCATAAGCCTCACCCTTACGAACACTTGTTTGGACAGTGACGGGTTTCTAGGCCCACAGTGCCCTTTTCCAGCGGAAAATGTTCGTTCCACAATGCTGCAACTGTCAGGTTAGCTGCAGAGAGGGCGAAACGGGACAAGCCCTTCGAGCACCTGCAGATGATACCGCCGCTGCCGGTTCCGGGAGAAGCCTTGGAGTTTCGCGTGCTGTCAAGCGAGGAGCAGGTTCGCGAAGCTGCCGAAAGACTGAAGAACTGCGCGGCCACTTACATTCCCGATGTCGTCGCGCAGAAATGCGCTCTGGTTGGCTTGTTCCCGAAGCAGAAAGGCGACAGAGACAAAGCGTCCAAAATTTTTGCCATGGGTGAGCTCTTCGTTAATCTCTCCGAACACGGGAAAATCGTGACGAGATGGGGGCAACGAGTTAAGGCTTGCAACAAGTCGGTGACGAAGAGGCAAAAAATTAGTTTCAACTGGGCCGGACGGAGGTTCTCCGAGCTGTGGACAAAGGCCATCGAATACGAGCTAGACGAAGTCTTGCCAAAGCAGGCATCAGGCGAGACAGCGATGGCGGAGTCAGCGGACCGCGTTTTGTCGGCTTTTGGGCGTCTCAGCTCCCTAGGCCTAAAGAGCCTCGCAAACCGCTCGCTGCTTTCTGAATTGTCGTTTCCTTGTTCACAGTTGGTCGGCGCATTGACCGAGCCCTTGCTGTCGGCTGCAGAGGCCGGCGATGACTCTTTCGCCAGGAGTATCATCTCGCAACTATTGAAAGCTGGAGTGGTACAAGAGCAGACGAAGGCCATTCTCCAGCAAGCTCTCCGACTTGACCAGGATGCGAAGCTCACAGTGCTGCTTTCTGAATTGCCGTTTCCTTGCTCACAGTTGGTCGGCGCATTGACCGAGCCCTTGCTGTCGGCTGCAAAGGCGGGCGATGACTCTCTCGCCAGGAGTATCATCTCGAAACTATTGAAAGCTGGAGTGGCACACGAGCAGACGAATTCCATTTTCCAGCAAGCTCTCCGACTCAAAAAGAATGCGAAGCTCACAGTGCTGCTTTCGGAACTGCCGTTTCCTTGCTCAAACTTGGTCGGCGCATTGACCAAGCCCTTGCTGTCGGCGGCAAAGGTGGGCGATGACTCTCTCACACAGAGTATCATCTCGAAGCTGTTGAAAGCTGGAGTGGCGCAAGATCAGACGAAGTCATTTTTCAAGAAAGCTCTCCGACTTGATAAGGATGTGAAGCTTCGTGCGCTGCTCTCTGAATTTCCACTTCGGCGGCAGTGGAGCCTTCTCAAGTGAAGGACATGTCGGAGCAAGCTCTCGTCGGCAAATCGGCCGAGCCTTTGCTGTCTTCTGCCCGAGGAGATGACTACAGGTAAACCGTTTGGGGTTTAGGGTTTAGGGTAGCTCAGATCAGTGATGAGCTGGTCGGGCAAATTGTATGAACTCACTTCGCAAGTCAGAGAGTGTGACACAGCAGGGTATGTGTCACTGCAGCGCCGAGGATATGCGCAAGCCAGCAAAACAGAGCTCCCCCCCCCCAGTTCCCTGTCTAGAACAACAGACCGTAAGGCTACGGAGTTTCGACTTTTCCCTGACCGTTGACCGTTCCCTGCAGCCTGGAGTTAACTGCCAGCATGCAGCCCAAAGAAGATCGGACAGGATAATTATTGAGGGCAATAGTCGTAACAGTGTGTAGGTCACGTAGTACAGCTGCGTATTAACCCATCTTCGCCTTCGAATGTCAGTGACTGGTATAGCCGTCATGCCAAAGCTGTAAACTGGCAAGGCTGGCCCACCACCTACCGCAGGCACGTGCGATCTGAAAATTGCACATTGCCTGGCAGTCAGGAAGTCTGTGTGAGGTGGCCAAATCAGGCACCCGGTATTGTAGGAGATCACAGTGGAGATGGAACCAGTGCTTTACTTAAAGGGTCTAAGTTTTGCAACCGCGAATGCTATTGAGAGGTGATACCACACGAGCGCACTTTGCTCAACAGCCGAGGCCCCTGTGCGGTTCAGACTGTCTGTCGCTTTGTAGATGTATAGCATGTGTTGTATAGAGTCTGCGTAAATTCTGTATACATATAGCATTTGCATAAATGTATACATACATCGTATAAGTATATGTACATGTATGTTTGTGTACGTATTTATGTAAGTATGTAAGTATGTATGTATGTCTGTATGTATGTATATATGTATGTATGCATGCATGCATAGATATGAATGTATGGTAGCATGCATGTATGTATGTATGCATGCATGTATGTATGTATGTATGTATGTATGTATGTATGTATGTGTTGTCTTCATGCATGTATTCATGTATGTACATGTGTATGTTACATTGTATGCACGCATGCATGTATGTATGTATGTATGTACGTATGTATGTATGTATGTGTGCATGTGTGTGTACTTACGTTATGTATGTCTGTATGTATGTATGTATGTATGTATTTATGTATGTAGGTATGTATGTACGTATGTATGTAGGTTTGTATGTACATGTATATATGTATGTGTCTGCATATATACCTATATATATATACATATATGTATGTATGTATGTATGTATGTATGTATGTATGTATGTATGTATGTATGTGTACATGTGTATGTGCATGATGTGCATGCACACAAGTGCACGCACAGGCAGACACAAACATTCGTTTTACAATGGGAAGGAGCTCTCTGACCTATTCGGCGTCGCTAATTGATAGAGGCATCTTGTTGTGTTTCTTCGGAGCCTTCGTTGTTAGAGATCCCGCCAACTAGTAGCTGGGTGAACTCAGCCGGAGGGGCTTTCTCGTTTTGTGTTCAGAACACAAAAGCATCGAGATGGATTGAACTTTCCATGAGGAGCGAAGGGGCTTTGTTTTTCTTATCATTGCCACCGCCCTATGTTTGTTGTTCCACATTGAGATAACTTGAGAGCCGTGTTGCCCGTGTTTTCTCGAGCAAGCTTTAATATCACATAAACAGTTCGAATCTTTCAGTTTTGAACGTCTGCCTCCTCAGCCACGAGCATATGTTAAGCTTAGACCAAACTTGTTCAGGAGATTGTTGCGGCTTTGTTGTGTTTCTGTGCCAAAGCAGATGCAAAGCCGCTTGCTGGTTATTTTGAGCTAATCCTCTTGAAATCACGGGCTGTCTCATGTCTTGTGGAATTTCTGCTACGGCCAAGGGAGAAACGAGCCCTTCTTGTTATTTTTCTAACCAAGGAAGAGTTCTCCCAGTTCTTGTCCAGACGAGAACAGCTGTTGCTTTACGTGCCAATAAAGAAGTCGAGGAGCCCAGAATGTAATCGTCTGAAGCTTCTGCTAGAGTATTAATTAGGAGGCACAGAGGTTCTCTATACTTCTGACGTAGCCAGCGACTCTAGGAAGAGTCTCTTGTTTCCTATTGATCGGTCTCTCATTCAAATCTAACCTAATCTCATCGAAACTAAATTCATCTAGCAGAAGCACACATGATCATGAGTTAGTAAGCTGATACGCTATCACTATCTGCCGTATAGATGAATAGTCTAATAACTCAATGTTCCAATAACCTATGTCTATTTATCTAACCATCTGTCTGTCTGTCTGTTTGTCTGTCTGTCTTTGTCTTATGTTTTTTCCGCAGTGGTCTGTATGATGCAGGATAGCGGGCTTGGCTTCGCAGCCCCTGCCGCTCACCCCATCGAGGCCACAGAAGACGCTAAGCTAATCATAATCCTCGTCCTCCGCCTGACCTGTTTTGGTTTTCAGGTGCCGCCCCGTGCCTCAGGGCAGGAGGCTGGGCTGCTTTCCGTCTCATCCCTGACCGTTTTGTGAGTGCGACTCTGCTGCAGGGACTGCAGAGAGGCCCGGGCGTCGAGCGCCACCAATCTCAGGGCCACGCTGCTGAGTCCACGGTCTGGTGCTCGCTCTCCTCGGTCGAGTGGCATCCCACAAGCCATCGTCGCGACACCCGTGGCCGCGATTTCTGGCATCAGCTCGGCAGGAGGAATGCCACCAGGGCCGCCCGTAGTGCGATCCTATGCCCCGCCGCGCGTGGTTGTTCCTGCCTGGGCATGGCTGCCTTCCCCAAAACCCGCATGCCGCGACCCGATCCCCGGCCACGAAAGCGGCCCTCCCAGGGGCGATGTGACGCTCCTCCCAACGCCCTGTCGCGTTCGATCGCAGAATCCGACGTACCCCAAGCAGAATGCAACGCGGAGCGCTTGCCCGAGCTTCCGCACAGGTCGGCGGCCCAGAATCGAGCATGCAGCTCTCTTTGTCATAGTTGGGTAGCATTTTACATTTTTATGGGTACTTAAACCCAATAAGGAATATAAGTTCAGGTTTTTAATCCCATCCCAACCATGAACTAGTCTTCATGCCTGGCAATCCGTCTCAAATTGCCCAAATTAAACCCCACTCCTAAACCAGGAAGCGGCCCTTATACTGTCCCTCTTCCATAGACCCCTCTAAAACGAACCCTTAAAGGAACCCGATTCATGAAAGCCTCTATACCGAGACCCTTAAATGACTCTATGAACTCCTTAAGACTCTACACCTCTTCAAAAGAAGCCCTTCAAAGAACACCCTGTTCAACTTATGTTGCCCCTAAACCCTAAACCCCAAACCCTAGGCCCGAAACCCGAAACCCAAACCCCATTCTAGTTATGAAGGTCCCTTTCCTCTAGAAGGAGTGCGCGTTCCGAACGCCTAGGTCTCAGTGGACCGGCAATCCGAGCAACGCTCTCCGGGGCCGTGCGTGCGCGTGCCGTGGTTCCTTGGATGCACCTTTAAGGGGTTTTACTGTTTACTTTGGTGGGATTGACCGTGTTTGGACTTTTTATGGTTAGGGGTTTCAGGGTTCTTATGGGTAACAGGCTTTTTGATGGGTTTTAGGGTTGCTAGGGCTTGTAGTGTTTGTGAGTGCTTCAGGGATTTTAGGGTTTAGGGTTATAGACTATATGCTTCGCTAGTGCTGGCAACCCTACCCCCTAGAAACCTATCCCTTCTAGGGCCAAGTTCTGTAAACTCATTCCCAGGGCCACCCCAGAGGCGCTCCCGCCAATCCCAAGCCCCTTATCCTAAATCCTGAACCTTTTGATCCTAAATCCTAACCCGTAAATTCTTAACCGCAATCCTCGATCCTCAACCCTAGATCCTAAATCCGACAGACCAAACCCTAAATCCTGAAAGCGAAACCCTAAATCATAAATCCTAAACTGCAAAACGGCTGGTAGCAGGGATTCAGGATTTGGGATCTAGCAGGATCCAGGATTTAGAAACAACGCAAAACCAAGATCAGATGACAACCCCATTAAAGTGTGAATGTGCACGGAAGAGAAGTTTAGGGTTTTAGGGTCTGGGGTGTCGGAATTGCGGACGTTCCCTCATCTCTAGTCGGGTTTTGTTGCGTGATGGAGCTGGGCTGAGGTTTATCGCGTGAAGAGCCTCTCACCCCCTCCGCGTGCGGGGCCAAGGAGCATCCTAAGCCCTAGCCCGAAACCCTAAACCCGACAGTAGTATTCAGGCAGTCAGCGGGAGTCGAGATGCATGGCGGAGTGCTTCCAGCTCGACGCAGCAATAGTCCAGGATAGCAGTCCTTTGCACACGTCTTGCAAGTGTTGGGTTTAGAGTTTAGGGCTTCGGGTTCAGGGTTTGGGGTTAGCTTCGCGCCTATGAATATTTTACATCCATTCCGTTGTTTTTTTGTCTATCTGCATCCCGGCGGGGCCACAGCCTTCGTGTTGCAGACGGCAACAGATCTCTTCGAGCCAACAGACAAGAAGAAGACCATGCAGAGACCGTGAGAATGTCAAAGACATCACTTGACCACACGCGGTTGGCATGTAGTTTACCTGTGGCCTCACTTATCAGTTTCCACTTGCGGGCCCGAGGATCAGCCCCTGCGATGCCCTTGGGTGTATCAACAGGCAAAGGTGCATTATATATATATATATATATATATGTTTATGTACATACACATATATATCTGTATCTATATATATATATATATATATACATATGTGATGATGATGATGGTGATGATGATGAGGTATGCGTAGGAATGGATATGATCATGCACGTGCAACTTACTTACGCACCAACACTTGAACAAATGCACATGCAAACAGTACAGAGACAGACATGGAGAAGAAAGTACAACAGACAGAATACCTATCAGTCCGTCCGTCCGTCCGTCAGTCATTCAGCCTGCCTCTTTGTCTGTTACACAGAGAGCACACAGCCAAGCAAACAAACAAACTGCCTCTAAACCCCTTAACCCCCAAACCCTAAACCTTAACCTCGAACTCAAGCGCTCAAAGAGACATCTCAAGCAGCCGTGCTACACTCCAGGCAAGTCTGGCTACCGAGCCGTTCAAGAAGGCTAGTGAGGGCTGCGCAGCCCTTGAAATTAACGCATGAGATCCGTAGGTTGAAGGATGGGATATACCCCAGACCTTGTCTCTTGGCAGAACGGGCACGAAGGGTTTAGGGACAACTAGTCTACTGCGCATGTTCTTTGGGGCCGTTCTGCTGATTTCCTCGAAGAGGGCCTTTTCCGAGTGGGACTTGGGCTCAACGATGGTGGGCCACGTGTCCTGTCATGCACGCACGTGTGCCGGGAACGACCACGCAGCCGTCTCGGGACGTCTCGGTGATGGAGATGAACAAGACTTACATCCGCGAGCGTGAGGCGTCTAAGGTGTAAGTGTATTCATGAGGTCCTTCCTCGCCCATCGGCTTCCAGTAATTCATGCATGCTTTGCGCCATCAGCTAATTCCATTCTTTTCGGCAGCTTAGCTTTGCAGAGCAGAAGCAGCCTCCTCCTGGTTCCTGCTGAGCGTGACTGAAGCAGTGCATCCAGGACATTTCGGTGGTTGGTTGGTTGCGTTTGCCAGTTGCTCATGAGAACTTCCGTACAAGGTTTGGTTCTACACCAACCAACGGGCCGCGCGTGTGGCATTGTTAATTCGTGCTTGGGAAAACACTCTTGCTGCAATCCTTTGTCACGTTCTCACCCTCATGGCTATCGTTTACCACCATCACCACCATCACCACCATCACCACCATCACCACCATCACCACCATCACCACCATCACCACCATCACCGCCATCACCACCATCACCACCATCACCACCATCACCACCATCACCACCATCACCACCATCACCACCATCACCACCATCACCACCATCACCACCATCACCACCATCACCCCACCATCACCCCACCATCACCCCACCATCACCACCGCCATCACCACCGCCATCACCACCGCCATCACCACCATCACCACCATCACCACCATCACCGCCATCATCACCATCAGCACCACCATCACCATCATCACCACCATCACCACCATCACCACCCCTCACCCCCGCCATCACCCACCATCACCCACCACCATTGCGACGATCGCCACCATCGCAACCAACGCCGCCATCTCCATTGTTGAATCCTTTTCATCATCATGATTATTATCGTAACCACTGCCCAGTCACATGACTCTGCAACTGATGACCGTGTTTCCTACTGTCGTTGCTTATGTTGACCCTTGTTCACACCTTATCTTCGGAGATTTTCGACACGAGCTTGTGTCACTGATGGTGCAGCCACAATCCCCAGTCTCCATCTTCGCAGCTGTTGTTGGATCGCTTTCGGGGCAAGTTTCTTGGAGCCATGCTAGCTGTTACAGCTGTTGGCTGCTTGACTGGCGGCTTTTTCCTTCACAAATGGCTTCGACGACGTCTCTTGGCTCGGAGAACTCTCATTCCCGTTTCTAGCGCTGAAGGTGGCCATAGTTGACCGGACATCCTTGTTGGCGATGTAGCTGGGACGCGTAAATGCGAGCCGTTGAGTTGGAGCTCCCTTCGCCTGCATCCTCCCCCTCGTCCTTGTCCCGCGAAGCATCGACGGAGAGGGAACTAACTTACCTTTGGTTAGTAGGGAATGGAGGAATGGGGTAAAAATATAACTACTATTACTACCATTCTTCCATTCCCTACTAACCAAAGGTAAGCTAATGATGGTTTTGCGTTCAGGCATCGCGCACATCCTAACGGGCGAGCAGAGGCGAGCTCTCATACCGCCACTACGGCTGCAAGCTGCACTTCTGCCAAAGTTTCTGGGTTTTTGCTTATCCTTCAGCCCCAAACCCTAAAAACCATCCTACACCCAAAGCCCCAAACCTATGTTTTCTGGGTGTTATTGGAGCCTCGGAGCCTTCGAAGTTCATGGCAGAGGCCCGGCGAGTGCATTAGTCCGGGAGCGAAAGCTGTGGCCGCTTCCGCTGATGTGGAGCTTCGATCTCACATGCATCGCGGCCCGGCGAAACCCTAAACTCATAGGGACCCTTCGGGGGGTAGGGGGGAGGGGGGTAGGGGGCCTTCATGCCCATAATAAGATAATAAGGACCTACGACGGCCTATTTAAGGAAGTATAGTTCATTACCCCCTCCCCCTACCCCCCTAAGGGTCCTTATGATAAACCCGCCAAAAAACCCTATAAACCCTACGCCCTAAGCCTTAAAGCAATGGCACAAGGGGTGACAGGGGAAGAACAGTGCAGAGCTGTGCCGGACGTAGCAGGTGGTGTGATGGTAGTTGTTGCATACTGTCGCTGTATGTCACAGTGCCCTTGTAATGATTGCCTTCAGAATTAGAGTAGAGTTTGGTGGTATTTGGTGCTATAAATATCATAAGGAAGCCCTCATTCTTTAGGCCCTTTTTTCTAGGACGTAGAGTAGGCCCTTATTCCCTTTACTTAGGGTTCAGCTTCCCTTATAAGCCCCTTTACACCAAAAAGGGCACTCTTTTAATTCCCAGGTTACTCTTGGGTCTAGTTTTAGAATCTGGCCTTCAGAATTAGAATCGAGTTTGTGCTATAAATATATAAGGAACCCCTAATTCTCTAGGCCCCTTTTTCAGAATCCTTTAGGCCCCTTTCTAGAATCTGGGGCTCTTCTCCCAGGCCTCAAGGATGGGACCCTAAACCCTAAACCCTAAACCTTTTTAGACTCCTTTATACCGGCCCTTTTTTTTAGAATCTCCCAGGCCTCAAGGATGGAACTCAGCTCTTCAGCTACATCCTGAAGCCGAAGACCAAGGCCCCGACACACGCGGTCGCCCCGGGCTCAGATTCTGAAAAAAGGGGGCCTAAAGAATTATATATAGAGGGCTTCCTTATATGATATTGAAAGGGGGCTTAAAGAATTATATAGGGGGCTCCTTATATGATATTTATAGCATTTTATAGCACAAAATACCACCAGACTCTATTCCAATTCTTAAGGCCCCTGTATTAGGCCTTTGTCCCAAGAGCCGAGCCTCCGTTTCGGCTTGAAACAGGTCTTTCTGCACGGCTACAGTTCCAACTCTGACCTCTATGTCGAGGACCGTGCCATGCACCCAACCTGCGGCAAGAAAGGGCAAACAAAGCTTAAAATTCGACCCTAAACCCTAAACCCCAAAACCCGATCTAAACCCTAAACCCTGAACCCCTAAAACCCTAAACCCCAAACCCCAAACCCCAAACCCCAAACCTACCTCTTGCTTGCTGCAAGAACTTGGCGGAGTTTGCACGGGCTGGTGCCATGGTGTTGCCGCTTGGCATCGGATCTATAAGGGCTACTATATGGGCTATTATAAGGATCTGATATAGTGGCCTAAATAATTAGCAACTACTATTCTGGGGGTTCCTTATCGCAGGTAAAGTACAATGGGCCCCAAACCCCTATTATAATTATAAAGGCCCCCATATGAGGGTGACACTAGTACGGTTACTGGTAGGATTACTGCTAGGGTTGCTATTGGGGTTGCTATTCGGGCTTTTCTCTTTCTCGTTCTCTCTCTATCTCTCTCGCTCTCTCGCTCTCGCTCTCACTCTCTTTTTGTCAGACATTCCTACGTACGTACGATTTACGGGCGTACGGACACGTGTATGTACACAGCGAGTGTTGCCCTGCAAAGGATGCCAGATCTCCCCTCACACGGGCGTTCCGCAGCTTGGACTTGGACGAGAGAACAGGGGAGGTGCATGCGACTAGCTCATGGACTTTTTTGGCCCCACGCCCCCATCCAAATTGGGAATATCTCCAAAACGGGGTCTGGATGTATCGACTTTCTCAGTCGTTGTTGAGCATGTAGGCGTAACTGTTTCGGATTGGTGTTGGCATCGGCAGCTTCTTGCCGTGTCAAATTCCTCATTACGAGGAGTTCTCCCAAAAACAGGACCTGTCAAACGGGCCACGGCGAAGTAAACCCTAAACCCTGAACCCCTGAACCCTAAACACAGCCGTTTAGGTTTCAGGTCGACCCCCCGACTTCGGCTTGAAGACTCTAAGGGCTCAAGATCACGACCACCATCCCCTTTTTAGGGTTTGGGGTTTAGGGTTTGGGGTTAGGATTTGGGGTTAGGATTTGGGGTTTAGGGTTTGGGGTTTAGGTTCTTAGGGTTCAGGGATGTTTAGGGATCATCATCAACATCGGTGTTTGACCTCCCCTTTCAGGATGGCCTTTTGGCCTACATTGACGACTGGTGGGCCTTTATGGATAAGATCTGGGAGCACACGGAGATCCTTGTGCCACTGGGATGCCTTGATTAAGGATCAGAGCGTAGGGTCTAGGGCTGCAGGGCTCTAGGGTGCTGTTGCAGTCAATCCACAGTCAGACTCCGCCCTCAGGTCCCAGGAGTGCAAGTCACTTCCACTTTTCGTTGCAGGACAGGGTTCAAGGCTTAGGGTTCACCGTTTAGGGTTTACGGTTACTGCAAGTGAGACCCAGCTCCTGGAAGGAAATTCTTTAGGGGGCGGCCTGGCGATATGCATGGCATTGCAGAGACCGACCTATTTCCGTGGGGTGCCTGAGCTGAACAGGCACGCGCATATTATCAGTCTGGGAAGATTTTGCCTAGGGGCCCGACACCCCAAACCACTATGAACCCTTTAAGACACCATGCAAAAGGAATCCTATCCTCATCATAAAGGCGCCCACGGTGGTCATCCGAGGTGGTCTTGAAGGGCCCCATGCTGACAGTCAGCGAGGAAGTGAAGCCTCCTTGGATCGTGCAGATGGTTTTCAAGCACCTCGTTGCGAGGCTGTCCCTTGACTGCAATTTGGGGGTTTAGGGGTTTAGGCGTTTAGGATTTAAGTTCTTAGTACCACTGTACCATTGCTCCCATGGTTGCTGTGTACTTGGCCAGGGTTTGCTTTTTGAGTTTTTCTGAGGCTGCCGACCTGGCCGATCACGCCGGTCAAGAGCGGGGAGCTGAGTTCACAAACCGGCGCTCTTCCACGGATGTCAGGAGCCATAAGTCCGGGTCCTCAACCATGGACCCGCGCCGCAAACCGTAAAAGAAACGTTAAGCCCTCATGGGCTTCGTCCAAATACTAAAGTCTCCTCAGGAATTGTTTGCTGTTTCATTTTTGTTCATATAGAACCCAAGAGAATATAAAAAAGACATTATTTTTCGTATGGTTCTAAGGGGGTATAATAGCCTAATGTGCGCAGAGTCTGAAGAGTGCTGCTCGCCCGTGTGAGGCCTCGCCGATTTCGATTTCCGCGTACCGACACAGGGGCCAGTGCTTCTTGTCTTTAGGATTCGAGCCTTAAGCCGCGTAAGGAGTGTTTACTGTATGTCCGGTATGTCTTAATTGGTCCATGCCAGACTCCAGACTCTGCAGTAGTGCAATATCTCATGTGAGTTTACATTCTGCCACTTCCATTGGAGAGAACAGTTGGATAAGTGTGTTCATACGTGTTTATGTAGGTCTACGTATATTAATTTGTATGTGTACGTACATATGTGCACCGTTATGCAGAAGGGTACGTGCATTCTACAAGCATGGCCAAAGATGAAAGCTATAAGCCCAGCAGCATTGGCAAACAGAATGACAAAAGAACTACTGTAGAACTTACAGCATAAAGGATACACGATTTTCCATGAATCGGGGTCCTGTGATGGCATCTTGTATCGACTGAGTTCGCTTCTGATCATGACATAAACGACAGCGTAAACGACAGTGTGGCGGATTTCAGTATGCGATCGGACAGGCGAGACGTTTCAAAGGTTCGGAGTTGACCGTCACACCAAGGTACGAGAAGGTCAACCCCTTCTCCATGAAGGGAACCTCGCCTTTCTTGGCTTCGGGTCGGGAGATGGGCTTCACCTTCACCGACTGGCTGGATGACCATCTGAAGGAGGTGCCCAAGTGGTAGCACAGAAGTTCATTGTGCACGAGACTCACATGATGCTGCCTGTGCTCGGTTGGAAGGCATACAGCTGCATGTACGTCTAAAACACAACAGACAGTTAAACATGCGATCATGCACATGTGCAATGCGACGCACCATGTGGTCCGAACTTCGGGGGGGGGGGGGGTGAGGTGAGGACGCCTTTCATCGTCTTGCATGGCAAGGCGGACAAGATCACGGATCCCGCGACATCGCGGCGCCGCTGCATCCAGCAACCATTGCTTGTGACGGATTATGTGTGGTCATGTTGCAGATATTAGCCGCCCAGTGCTGCGGGGTGTATGTGAAGGACTGCAGGATGTTCCACACACAAAGTCACGAATCTTCTGATCTTAGAAATTTTCAGGCAAAGGCTGTACGACGAGGCAAAGGCCACCGACAAGACGTTGAAGCTCTACGATGGAGTGCCTGGGATGTGGATTCGGTTGAGCTCGCCTTTTGAATCGAACAGCCGAACAGACAGCAGCGTGCTTATCTTCACGCGTCAATGGACTATGTAGGGGTCTGAGTTATTAGTTATTAGTATTTGAGAGTCACTAAGCGCTATTCCGGGGTCCATTTGTCTTTGAGACGAGGTGTATCACTGCGAGTTGATCTGCTGCACCCCGGGGGGTGCTGAGTTCACTGGTCTGACGTGGCTTCCCGAGCAGGCGCAGCTTTTCTTAAGGAAATGAACAGGGTTTACAGTTCATATCTCATATAGGTTTTGTAGCATAAGATGTAGAGCCCATACTTTAAATGCACTTAATACCTTGGGTTCCGATTGGTTTGGTTTCGGGTTGCTGCTTTAGGGGCCCAGGGTTTAGGGTTTAATGTGTTCGTCGACAGTATCAAAACTTGCGTGACATTTGGGTATCGCTCCCACCCGAAATACATGGAATCTAGGGTAAGTTATGACGCAAGAATCGCAAGCCAAAATCCTTTGAACTTTCAACACAATTCCCAGATAAATAAAGTGACAGCAGCTGGCAGGTCTCTGCGACGCAAGCTTGCACAAACGACGCAATTGCCTGGATGGCGGAGAGGATTTAGGGCTTAGGTTTTTTGGGAAATCAGCTTCATGCTACGGACTGCAGTTCCGTCATCGTCTGAATGGACGAAGATGGAATGCATCCAGGGTCGTCCTTTTTCGAGGTATGCAATAAAGCATAGATATGAACGGTGAAGGTAGCATCTAGGAATCTAATAGTATTGCAGGACCAGGACATTGGTCGATATAGCGTCTACCCTCCGTAAAGGGACAGTTTTAAGTTTTCCAACCCTCCGCGGTTCGGCTGTACGTGCCACGATGTGGACCAGGCTGTTGGCCGCAGGAGGTTTTAGGGTTTAGGGTCTGCGGGCTTTAGGGTTTAGGGACCGTTCAGCCTTTTGGCAATATCCAAATTGGATCAGGGGCTTCCCCCACATTTTGCGGAGCAGCGAGGCTCCAAAGGCTTTACAAGAAGTGCGAGTGCAGTGCCGACGCCTGTCAGCTCAGTCTGCTTTGGCTTCGGCTGTCTTCCTGCATTTCCGGAAACCTTGGTGTTTCTCTACTCTCGGCCCAGTGTTTGCAGAAGATGGCGGGCTTTAGGATACCCAGCCGTCAGGAGGGTGTACGCCAGGCGCCCAGCAGTGGCCATATTTCGAATCGAACCTACCAGCATTATTATTACTAAAGATGGTATTTGCAATAATTCTTACTAGCCGTGTTGTTAGAACGACCCGGAAGTGTTGTTAGTACTATTGTTAGTACAACCATCAGCATTTTAGTATCATTGTCAGTATTTACACCGAGCATGACTATCGTGATTTCCGCAAGGTGGCCATGGTTGCGAGGACGTGTTCTGTAGTTTTGCTAAGAGAAAGATGCGGGCGATGGTGATGCTAATGGTGGTGACTGTATTGATGACGGCGAAGGTGGTTGCTAAAGAATGGACGGACTGTGATTGTGGCGGTGGTTGTGATGCTGATGACGACGACGAGGACGACGAAGCTGATGCTGATGATAATGGTGGCGATAAGGATGACATCAGGATGGTCGCTGCCCTGCTGCTGTTGGCAATGAGATGGCGATACTGACGACAATTGTGGTTCGTTGTGTCAGCCATGGTGGGTACGATGTTGCCTGTGAGGATGGAGACGAGGATGAATATGCACGGTGATAAGCTGTAAGTGCAGCCAATGTTTGGTATTATTGCGTGTGCAGGTATCAAGCACACTTTCTCTTTCCCAGCCACATTGTTTTCATGGTGCATTTTGCCAAGGCCAAACTTTCTATCATGACTAGGATATTCACTATTCCGCATTCGTTTTCACAGGTCCGGCATTGTTATCGCGACGGAGACGACGGTGATTTTGGTTGCGGTTATGTGCCATGTCGTGTTGTCGGCAAAGTTGTGGTTGATGTTGTTGTTGCTGCTTCTGGATTCGAAATGTTGTTGATGTTGAAGAAGAAGAAGTAGGAGTAACGGAAGCAGTAGCAGTAGCAGCAGAAGCAGCAGCAGGGTAGCAGTAGCAGTAGGAGTAGCAGTAGGAGTAGGAGTAGGAGTAGGAGTAGGAGGAGGAGGAGTAGTAGCAGCAGGAGTACTATTAGTAGTAGTAGTAGAAGAAGAAGAACTAGCACTAGTGTCAGTAGCAGGGGCTGCTGTTCCTGTTCCTCTTGCTGTTGCTGGTGTTGTTGTTGTTGTTGTTGTTTTGGTTGTGGTCGTGGTTTTGGTTGTGGTTGTGGTGTAGTTGCCCGTGCTGCAATCAGTATGAACAGGATGGTCGTGACGACGTCCCTCAATGCTGTGGTGACTGTGACTTTCTTCTCGATTCTGTCTGGCCATGTGCCGTAGCTACGTGAACCCTGCTATAGAGGACTTGATAAGGAGAATAGGGTTTTTGGGCTTCCTTGTTATATTCACAGTATAGTTTTTTCCAAAAACCTATTCTAGTTATTAAGGCCAGTATATTCATAGTATAATATCCCCCCAAAGCGTATTCTGGTTATTCCAGCCATTATATTCATAGTATAATATCCCCCCAAGAACCTATTCTGGTTGTTAAGTCCCCTGCACAAACCCTCGAGTTGAGGTCCCGATGGAGCAGCGCTCGGGCGGTCTGCAGCAGGCGCCTGCACTTCGAGCCTGGAGGGGTGTCGGAGTCAGGGCAGTGACTGTGATATAGGGGCCTTAATAATTACTTATACTATTTTGTACTATTTTGGGTGTTCCTTACTAAATTAAAGTAGAAGATACCCCAAAACCCCATTAACAACTGTTAAAGCCCCTATAGAAGATGAAAACACCTTCGCCGAAAGTTCAGTGCTGCTCTTAGAAGTCCAAGCTCCCACCCTTAGAACCACCAGATTCCCTGTCGGTATGGTTGATGATATAAATCCTGCATTACCTTTCTGCTGGTAGACTATGGGAAACATGGGATATTCCTTATTACGGGTAATGCAGGATTTAGAATCCCTAAACCCGGAACACTATAGATCCCTTAAAAGAACCCCTGAAAGGTACCCCTATAGATCCCTTTCAAGGAGCCCTAGGATTTATAATATAGATGTCTTTTAAGGAACCCTAGGATTTCTATTATCAGCCGTATGGGGCACTTTTCTGTGCCAAGTTCAAGGCTGCCTCGGGGCCGTCTTGGCGGCCTCCTGCGCGCCGGTGAGCTCCAGGATCGGCTGTGAGTAAGAATGAGGCCCAATGAACTACCGATACCCTTCCGTAGTGTTTCTGGGTATACTTATAGTATAATGTAACTACCGATGCTAACCCAATCGGGTTGCTGATTATGCATCTAACATAATGTAACTGCCGATACCCTTCCGTAGGGTTCCTGATTATATTCATGATTTTCTACCACATAGTACAACAGCATAATTTAGTATAGTATAGTATAGCAACGCATGCACCCAAACCCTATTCTGATTAAAGGCCTCTATAGTTATCGTCCCTTACTGATAAAGAGATCTTCATCCTGAAGACATGCTTGGGCTGACAGGAGTTTTGTGAGCACCCCTTCTCCACAGCCTAGCGCTCAGACATTGTGCGGTTTTCCGTGGGAGCTAGGAGGAAGAGGGGGCACACAGAGTTGCTTGTGGGAACGCGTGGATTTTCAGACAATGACCAGAGTCATGAGACCAGTCGCCACACAAAATTGCTTGAACAGCTTGAATTCTAGCTTGTGTGCAGGAAGCCGGGTCACCGAACTCGCAATGCAGCAGTATGAGCCATTTCAGAGACCTAAACCCTAAACCCTGAACCCTAAACCGTCCCTAAACCCTAAACCCTCAGACCCTGCTCTAAAGCTTCGGGCTACATAGGCTTACCACTCCAAGACCCCGAGTCTCAAAACCCCGCAGAGCTGCACCCACATCCGAAGCCTTTCACCGCTGTAGACTGTGAACTAAATGGGAGTTTTCGAAAATAGGGGGTACCTTATTTAGGGGTCCTGATAATAAGGATCCTACTGTTTAGGGTACTATAGTAGGATCCCCTATTTTCGGAGACTCCCATTTCAGGGCCAGAAGCTTAAAGCCATAGACCTGGAGTCCCAAACCCAAAACCTTCAGAATCCCTAAACACCCAACGCACTGAAGTGCGAAGCCGTAAACCCAAACGCTGGGGCTAGGTGCCAAGAACCCTAAACACCCTGAAGCCCTAAAGCCCTACTGGGGTGACCGTGCCCTGAACCCGAAATGCAGCTTCAAACCCAAACCCCACAAGACCCCCAGCTCCCCGCCTTACACCCTAAACCCTCAACCCCCAACCCGAAACGCGAAACCCTAAGCAACAAACCCCAAAACCAAAACCCAAACCCAACACCCAAAAGCCAAGACCCAAGACCCCAAACCCCCAACCCAAAAACCCAAAAACCAAAAACCTTAAACCTAACCCTATGCCTTCACAAAGCTCTGAAGTGCGAAGCCTTAAACCAAGAACCCTTAACACCATAAAGCCCTAAAGTCTTAAACCCAAGCTCCAAGGGTGACCCTGAACCCGAAACGGAGCTGCAACCGCAAACCCCACGACACCCCGAGCTCCCCCGCCTTAAACCCTAAACTCTAAACTCGAAACCCAAGACCCAAGACCCCAAACCCCGAACCCAAAACCTAAATCCTCACAGCCAAAACCCCAAACCCAAAACGCAGGCACAGATATTTTCCGACCTCGGGTTGCAGCTCCTCGTCCTCTGTGGCCGCGGCGCGGCCGTGCGAGACTCACAGGAACGGTTTAGGATTTAGGGTTAGTTAGGGGTTTAGGGTTTGGGGGTTTTAGGGTTTTAGGCTTTAGGGTTTAGGGGTTTAGGGGTTCAGGAATTTAGGGTTTGGGGCAAACCTCGCAGGCCGAGGCACGCCGGTCTAGGGTTCTGATGAAGGGTTGAACGTGTGGGCTGTGCCTCTTGGTCGGTACTCGCGGGGAATGGCCTCCGATGTTAAGGAATCTGGCTTGGAGTGTCAGGCTTCAAAACTGTCGGCATAAATATGCAGAAATAAACAAAATGTATAAATATGTATAAATATATTACATAAATAGAAATACATTAAATATATATATATATATATATATATCTGTGTATATGTATGAACACACCCATGCACATGCTGCTCGCAAGCAAGACGCATGCCTTCTGCTTTGCGTCTGTCCTGAGCTTTAACCCTACAGTTGCAAATTCCACGCACCCCAAACTACGGAATACCGGTCCGGATATCCTGAACCATCCAAGTCAGAAAAAGAATGGTAACACCGACAACAAAACAACAGTAAGAGTGCTATGAATGAGACTTGTAGTGGCCTTCCACAGCAGCAGCAGCAGCAGCAGCAGCAGCAGCAGTTGAAGCCGGATGATGAGTGTTCAAGCCATTCGTTTTTGCACCGTAAGCCCGAATTCCCCCAAACCCTAAACCCCCAAACCCCTAAACCCCTACACCCTTAAACCCCTAAACCCTAAACCCCTAAACAGTAAAACCCTAAACACTTGAACCCTAAACCCCTAAAGCCCTAACAATGCTCCCTTGCCATCATCTGCGGCTTGTGCCATGCGCCTCCTCAGGCAGTCCT